CATTTGATTTATTGATACATGCCTTTTGTACCCAATTCAAATTCACCAGTGCAGACTCGGACACCGTATTGATACCGGTGTTTTACATCAAACTTGAGTCATTAACTGAAATTAGTTACAATCAGGGATTTTTTATATGCTGCCTCAATTTACCATTATTTAAATGTTCATCGATATTGTTGTTGTTATCATTATCATCTTCTTTGTTTGAAATTTTTTTTAGGCCCCCTACTCTCAGATCTTAGCTCTGCCCTGGTTGATATCCTATAGAATTTCCAGCCAAAGTTCCTTTCTTTTAGGTTTAATTTACGTATGGTATTCCAGGTACTCCCGGGGCGGCTCGATGTAACTCGGGGTCTTAGGTGAAAAATAAAAAGTGGCATTTTCATATCATAATATGCAATATATTAATTAGTAAATAATAATTAATTAAAAATCATCCTTCTTACTTTTTGAGATGCAAACTTACTAATTAAATTCTTTTATTTAAGTGTGATTAAATCTGAACCATTTTCTACTAATAAATATTTTTTCCAGGATCATATATATTTGTGGGAATAGTCTTAGAATATGATTTTTAAATACTTGTTTCACTTTCTTCCAATTCTTGTTGTTGTTCTTGATTATTATTGTGAAGCAAGTCACTAGTATTTTTTTCTTTCACTATTGTATAATCCTCTAATTCTTTTAGATGATTTGATTGTTCATTTGCTGAACTTTTACCTAAATTTTTTGTTAGGTTTAATTATTAATTAGTTGTAACAAATTTATCAATAGCTCCCTTTTGAGATTGAATTAGTTTATCTATTCTTCTTTTTTCTTTTTCTTTTTTTCTTTTTTTTTTTTTTTAAGTTTTTCAAATTCTAATTCATATTTTCTAACAGACATATTAAAAAATATGGGTAAAAATAGTCACAAGACTCACAACTCACAAACAAATATACAAATATATGAAAAATATAGATATATACAAATTTATAATAACAAAAGTTAGTAAAACTAAAAAATAATTAAAGAAAAAGAATAATATAACCTAATTTAGAAAGCCCCAATTCAATGCTGCTGCAAATTCTTCAATAAAAGAAAAGTGCGTTTAAATTGAGATTTCAGACTAATGAATATTGAGTCGAGAAGAAAGAAAATTATAAAGTTGTAAAGAGAGAGGACTGAGAAGGGAAATCATGACTTGTAACTTGTAAATAATTTGTTGAGTTTGCTGAGAGAGAAGAGAAATCAGAGGATTAGGAATAAGAAAAAAATAAATAAATAAAATAAAAATATAGAAAACGAGAATATGGTAAGTTTCTTCCTTCCCCATACAATGGCTAAATATTAAATATATATAGTGCTGGTGTAAAAATAAAAAAAAATAAAAAAAAAAAAAAAAAAAAAAAAAAAAACGTCTATAAGATAGACAAAGAATTAAAATATTAATGAGATATTTCAGGAGATAAAAAAAAAAAAAAAAAAGAAGATAAATAATTTCTCTCTTGGTTAAAATTTAATAAAAAGACAAAAAAAGAAGAGTTATTTTAGGTGATAAATTTTTTAGAATTAGTGTTCAATAAGGAAACAATTATAATATAACATATACAAGGTAACTATAATATTTTGAGGCCTTTTTATTGACTGGGGCTTTAGGCGGCCGCCTAACTCACCTAAGGCTCGAGCTGCCCCTGGCTACTCCCCTCGTATTGGTTTCAACCTAATTGTAGGCCGGGCTATGAGGTGGTTAATACTTGGTTAATGCTGTTATTAAACTTTTCAGTAGTCATGTTTATACAGATTATGTGATATATCCAGGTTCTTTCGGTGCTACTTGTTACCTTTACAGACCAAGATATCTCAAATGTGGATGCTGATTTGCATGTGGGTGTTTATTTGCTATTGTTGTTACTTGGTATGTACTTTGTTTTGCTATTGTTGTTGTTACTTGTTACTTAATTGTTTGCTCTCATTTTTGGCTATTGTTGTTGTTACTTGGTATGTACTTTGCTCACATTGTTTGCTCTCATTTTTTACACACACACACACACAAACCCATAAAAAATTTAAAATTTATAAAACACAAACACCCCTACATCTTTAAAAAAAAAAAAAATGTATGTTGGGGAGGTCGCCAAAACAGGTGGTTAGATGAATTGTTGGAAATTAGTTATGAAAACTAGTGTTTCAAGTGCAAATGAAATTTACCTGTAACTAATTTATAGGTTCGACTACAACATGAATATCTTAATGTAAAGGTTCCATGCAAAGTCCAAAATTCAGTTTATTTAACATAACCTCTACCGATTCTTTAACATATTCTTAATGTTTAATGTGTTTAAGGATTGGTTAGAAACAGTTAATAAAATGAAAGCTATGATGCATTGGATTACAATACATACGTGAATGGGTGTGTTGGTTGAAAAGATACAATCGAACAGACATAACCTATTGAATATGAACCATTGCAACCTATTGGAGTGGATGTATCTAGTGGTGAACAGACACTATGTGAACCGTTGCAACCTATTGGAGTTGGTGTGTTTGGTGATGAACAGACACATATAAATGGTTGTGTCTAATGATGAAGAGACACATCCAATCCAAAAAGGCACTTCTACATCTATAAATACCCTACTTGGCTGTGTAATTCATTCATTCATTTTTCATTCTTCTCTCCCTCTCTCAACATGAACTTAACCGAAGTGGATGTAGGTTTAAGCCACAGGTCAAGTGGTCCAAGCCACTTAGACCCAAGAACAATATAGATGTGCCATATTAAAATTAGTCCGAGCCATCTGGTTTGAGTTGCACAAATTTCATCATTTTTATAGTATAGATGCGTTTTTTAGCCAGGCAAAGTATTACATAGAGGAGATTCGCCATATCCACAAATTTATAGTGCTGCTACTAATGGATGTACATCGTTGTATCATGGGAGAGAAGCGCCATAGAGTCCGTCAACACCATATGGGGCGTAAATTGTTTGCTCCAAGTGCTCTCACATTTACATTCATTCTTCTTTTTTCCTCTTTATTAAGCTTACCTTTAAAAAAAAAAAAAAAAAAACAACCTCGATCTAGGTTCTTCATTTATTATTTGTTAATTTATTGCTTTATTTTGCATATTTAATTAAATATAGAATTGTATATTTAATTAATCATTTCTTAGCAGATTGTTAATTATCTCATAACATATTAGTACGTATAAAATTTGGTATATTTTAAATGTCACATAACATATATATTTTCTAACAAGAAATCGCCGAAAGAGTTTGTCCGACAAGGTAGCTATACATGGGGAAGGTAAAGAGAAAAATGTATGTAGAGAGAGAGAGTGTGTGTGTGTGTTGAAATTGATATATTGATAATTACTTTTATTCTAGTTATTTTTTCATGATATATTTTGTTGAATATGTATGGGTTCGTTAAATTGTTTTAAATTAACCCAATTTACGAAGTCAGCCCAATAAAAATTCAAACTTCAAGTCAGCCAGGACTGTCCTCTCGTCAAGCCGAGATGGAAACTTAATTTTTTATACCCTGAAGACCAGTTTGCCAACGATGACTTCAAAGATGTGTGAATATACCCTGAAGACTTGAATTGGTAGTACGTCAATCTTCTATGGAAACTTTTAATACTTGATTTTTTTATTTTATTTTTTTATTATTTTATTTTATTATTATTATTTTTTTATACCAGATTTGGGTTTCCATCCTATCGGTTCTAGTCAATTTCCTGATGAAAGGTAAAACTATAAAATTCACTTCTGTATGAGTATGTTGCCGCGAATTTTTTTCATGGTTCTGTGGGAGAAGTTCGTCACAACTAATTATAAATTTTTTTTTTTTTTTTTGAAAGGTTACTAATTATAACTTTGATAACTATAATGGTTACCAAATTATAACTTTATTTTTTTTATTTTTTTTAAAGGTAACTAATTAAAACATTTTTATTTTTTTTTGGAAAAGTTACAGTGAATTTAACTTGACTTTGGTAGTGATGAACCACCCACACCCACAACCACAACTGCCGCGGAGCTTGCTTAGCTACAATAACCGGGTCAATCCGGACAACTTATGCCAACTGGATTGGAGGTGTTATCACTTGGTATCAGGTGTTACCTAAATAGTACTGCATTGAGAAAATTTAAGGGAGGATAAATTCATTAAAGAGGAGTCCATTAGCTAGTGTGCTTGACAGAAGTCCAAAATTCTCTTGGTTAAGTCAATAAAAGCATCCTTATCTTAGATGTATTTTTTCTTTTATTTAATGTATTCTCTTGGATCATGACCTGGTCAGTATATACAAGATCATTTTTTTATGGAGACAAGGAAGAATGCTACATGAAGTGTTGGATTCATATACATTTTAGGATCAGAAGGATGGTTTTGGCCGGTCTTCCAATCTTTGTCTAGTGCCTAGTGGTGTTTCAGTATTTGTCAGCATGAATTGACTGAATATATATGAATTGGTAGTCTTTGTTTCGTGTCCTATATTTTCTCCTAAAACCGGCCTGCCATTACTCAAGGCTGCCAAGTCCTTGTTTACCAAAAAAAAAAATGTTTTCAAGGGCCGGCTGCTTGATCATTCTAGATACATCATATAGAATTTAACATAAACTTCACATTCATTTCTGTACTCATCACAACAATAAGAAGATATTTAGAAAATTTATATATACCGTTATACATATAGATTTTCATTGTTTATATATCTTGCAAACTGAGTTGGTATGTATTCCAAATTATTCACACACACTCATGGAGAAAATTACTTGGTTTTCTCTTTTGCATGCAGTGTTGTTAGTGCATTGTGTTGTGGCTTGTTTAGCTAGGAGTGTACCCAACATTACCAGTGACTAATCTTCTCTTCTTGAATTGAAAGCCCATATCACTTTTGACCCTCATGGTGTCTTGGCTAACAATTGGTCCACATCAACATTCGTTTGTAACTAGGTTGGAGTCACTTGTGGTGTTCGCCACCGACGAGTGATATCATTGGACCTTTCTGACATGGCTCTTGAAGGTACGGTTCCTCCAAACCTGGGTAACCTCTCATTTCTTGTTTCCCTCGACCTCGGTAACAACTCGTTCAGTGGTCATTTGCCTAATGAATTAGTTCATCTGCGTCGATTGAAATTCATGAATTTAAGTTTTAACAAATTTAGCAGACAGCTTCCGTCATGGTTGGGTGCCTTGACTGAACTGCAAGAGTTAATTCTTCGTAACAATAGTTTTATAGGTACTATCCCACCTTCCTTCTCTAACATGTCGAAGCTAGAAAGCTTGCGTTCATATTCCAATTTTATACGGGGAATGATTCCGCAAGAGATTGGAAATCTTCTGAACTTGAAGAATTTGGACGTGGAAAATAACCAGCTTATAGGCCCCCTGCCACTCACCATCTTCAACATGTCGTCACTGCAAATTCATTGCTTTCACAAGGAATGGCATATCTGGTAATCTTCCAACCGATATGTGCTATGGTCTTTCAAATCTCCAAGGGCTTTATCTATCTAGCAACGACCTGCAAGGCCAAATTCCATCCAATTTATATGAGTGCTCAAAACTTCAGATTTTTGTCACTGTCATTTAACAATTTCAATGGACCCATTCCTAGAGGGACTTGGAACTCAACTGTGCTTGAGGTTTTAAGTCTTAGCGGTAACAACTTCAAAGGTATTGTTATATACTAACTTTAATAAGGTATGTTTATATGATTAACAATTAAAAGCTTCATATGGATGGTAAATTGTTAAGTGTGAGGAAGTAGGTTTTAATATTTATAATGTTAAAGTTAGATTTGAGAACACTTGATTAATAGGGACTAAATTGGATCATGAGTCATTTATTTATGCCCCTTTTTATGCAAATGGTAAATTCTTTTGTAGGTGAAATTCCGCAAGAGATGAGTAACCTTCTTCATTTGGAGATATTAGCAATGTCTGATGCAGGTCTCACTGGTCTCATTCCATCTTCCATCTTTAATATCACTTCTTTGCAAGAGCTTTATCTTTCTGGAAATAGCTTTACAGGTATAATCCTTATATTCTGGCGAGTTTTGCAAGTTATGTTTTCCTTGCACTTTAAAACTTTCTTTTCTCATTTTTTACTTCATTTTTTTTTCCCCGGCTTACAAAAATGAATTTCATTATGAAAGATGGGTAAAAAGCATATTTCATAACATAAATTAAACGATTGGTCACCTCACTCAGTATAAAATCATTAAGTATGAATATATTAGAAACTTGTGACTCGATTGGTGATGCAGTATCTCCCCCCAAAGCATTTTTATTTATTTATTTTTCCCAGCACACAACGAAAACATTTTGTTGTCTACTAATGGGATTTTCGCCTTTGTACCTTGTCATTTTCTGGGTTTTGGAGTTTGGTTAAATTTAATGTCCTAATTTTGTTTCATAAAAATATGAGAAATAATATAGTGATTCCATGAAAATCCTTCACATGCTAATATTATCTTGAAATGTTCATTTTTCTTCCTCGTTTGTTTTCTATTTTTTTCTTAATAGTTCTTATGAGACCTCTCTCATCATTTTCACGAATTAACATTACATTTCAATGTTCTTTTACATTTCTTAGCAGGTTTGATACCATTAAATAGAACGGGGTTATGTTGAATTCATTGAATGAGGCTTTTTTGTAAATTTAATGTCTTGACTGTGTGGTTTATTTTTATTATTTATTATATCCTTTTGTTTTGGAGTTTGGTTAAATTTGTAAAATACCAATTAACTTGCTTAAAGAGGTAATAGGATACTTCCGTACTAGATGACACCATTTTTCTGATAATCGAATATGTTTTTATTGTCATTTTTATTTTTTCTAATTTCAAGATATGTTTTTCCCCAATAAGAATTTTCCTACAAACAAAAGATCCTTGTGAACAAGATAGTAGCTAAAAGTTTTGGTGAACAATAAATGTTGGATCTTAAGAAATCATGTCAAATTAGTTAATATATATTTTTATATGATTATAGAGAGACGATATAATGATTCCATGAAAAACTTTAACCTCTATATATATCATCCTGAAATTGCCATTTTCCTTCAACTTTTAGTTTCTATTTTCTGTTAGTAGTTCTAACAACCCCTCTCTCATCATTTCCGAAGACATTAACGTTAGATTTCAATGGCTTTTTACATGGCTAAGCAGGTTTGATACCGAAAGAGATTGGCAACCTTCATAAGTTGGAGATAATATTATTGAGTTCTAATAGCTTAAGAGGACGAGTCCCAGCAACGATGTTCAACATCTCAACACTACAAGAGATCGCACTTGTTGGCAATCACTTTTCAGGCAATGTACCATCAAGCATAGGCCAGACTCTACCCAATCTTGAAAGACTTTATCTTGGAGGAAATAACTTCACTGGAACTATCCTTGACTCTATCTCAAATGCTTCGAAACTCACTATTCTAGATGTTTCCGACAATAGGTTCACTGGTCCTATTCCCAGCTCCCTTGGTAATTTAGGACGACTCCTAATTTTGAACCTCGCGGTAAACAACTTCATTGCTGAATCATCATCTCTAGAATTGAGTTTCCTCACTTCTTTAACAAATTGCACATATTTAAGGATATTACATATTGGTGGAAATCCTCTGCATGGAATTCTTCCGATCTCCATCGGTGATCTCTCTGATTCCGTCGAACTGTTTAGTTTAGAGAGTTGTGGAATAAAGGGCAATATTCCGAGTGAGATTGGTAATTTAAGCAGCGTGTTGTTATTGATTCTAAGTGCCAACAACTTAACCGGTCGTATTCCAACGACCATCAAAGGGTTGAGCAAGCTACAACGACTGCAATTTCATGACAACAGAATAGATGGAACCATTCCTGAGGAGCTCTGCCATTTACTGAACATGGGTGAGCTACGTTTGAGTGAAAATAGATTGTTTGGAACGATACCGGCATGCTTGGTGAATATTACTTCCTTGAGATATCTATATTTGGACTCCAACAGATTTAATTCCGGCATACCTACAACCATTTGGAAACTCAAAGATCTTTTGCGGTTCAATCTGTCCTCTAATTCTTTGAGTGGGAATCTACCCCAAGAGATTGGAAGTTTAAAAGTAGCAATAGAAATTGATCTGTCAATGAATAAATTCACTGGTGATATTCCTACAACCATTGGCGGTTTGAAAGACTTGATTAGTCTTTCCCTTGCACATAATAGGCTGCAAGGATCAATTCCTGAGGCATTTGAAAACTTGGTAAGCTTGGAATCCTTGGATATATCCCAAAACAACCTATCCGGTCCGATTCCTAAATCGTTGGAGTCACTCTTGTATCTTAAACATTTCAATGCGTCTTTCAATAGACTAAGAGGAGAAATTCCGACTGGTGGACCTTTTGTGAATTTCACGAGTCAATCTTTTACGTCGAATGAAGCATTGTGTGGTGCTCCTCGGTTCCAAGTCCGGCCATGTGATAAAAATTCTCTTCACAAATCGAAGGTAAACAGAATGTTATATATTTTGTTGCCAATCGCATTAATACTTCTTGCCTTAGCAATTCTATTAATGTGCCTAAAAAGTCGATGGAGGAGAAATAAAAATCCAATTCAACTTGAATCAATAGCTGCAGTTACACGTGAAAGAATTGCATACCATGAACTTGTCCGAGCAACAGATGGGTTTAGCGAAAGCAATTTACTTGGAACGGGGAGTTATGGTTCAGTTTACAAAGGTACACTAACAGACGGGACACTTTTGGCTGCAAAGGTATTCAATTTGCAACAAGAAACTGCTTTCAAGAGTTTCGACACAGAATGCGAAATATTACGCAACATTCGTCACCGGAATCTCACCAAAGTCATTAGCAGTTGCTCTAACCTTGATTTCAGGGCTTTGATACTCGAGTACATGCCTAATGGGAGCCTTGAAAAGTGGTTGTATTCACACAATTACTTGTTGGATATCTTGCAGAGATTAGACATAATGATAGATGTGGCGTGTGCATTAGACTATCTCCACCATGGTTACTCTACACGTGTTGTTCACTGTGACCTCAAACCCAGCAATGTCCTACTAGATGAAGAGATGGTTGCATACGTGAGTGACTTTGGCATCGCAAAGTTCTTAGAACAAGGGGATAGCATTGCACTAACCAAGACTCTAGCCACAATTGGTTATATTGCACCAGGTGAAGCTTTTAGCTTTCAATTTTTGTTCAATGTTAGTTTTGGGATTTTTTTTATTTTTATTTTTTTAGTCATAACAAAATTTCAATTTATTAGTTTCTCAAAATTTCACTTTCATCAAAACACATCCAACTGGTTTGATTAATTATAATATTTGATGTAGAGTACGGATTGGAAGGATTAGTATCAACAAGGTGTGACGTTTACAGTTATGGTATTATGTTGATGGAAACATTTACAAGACGAAAACCCACTGATGATTTATTTGTTGGGGATCTAAGCCTCAAAGGTTGGGTAAATCAGTCACTACCTGACGCAATTATTCAGGTTGTCGATTCCAACTTGCTCAGGCCAGAGGAAGAACACTACACTGCAAAGGTGCAGTGCGTATCATCCGTCATGGAATTGGCTTTGTATTGCTCTGCCGAATCACCCCAGGAGAGGATCAACATGAAAGATGCTCTAGTAGCACTCAAGAAGATCAAACTTCAATTTATCAAAAATTGTAAGTTGAGTTGAAACATGAAAGTATCTATCTATTCTAATTCTAGTTTTTGCTATTCCAAGTTACAGAATAACTTAGAATCTTGAATTCCATGCAGGTGAGCAAGTTGAGACAGTAGTAACTAGACACACTCAATGAGGACTGAATTTGTGTGATGATGCTCCTATCTTACAAGGTGCAAGTAGTGACTAATTTTGAATTCTTTGACATTGCTATGTCCATAGAAGTGAAAATGTTTTATTCATCATTTTACGTTCTGATAGAGGGTACTTTTGCAGGAATTATGGAGATGCAGGCGTGGTAGCTCAGCTGCTTCATGATATCAAAACGATGATGCAGCGACAACAAAATAAGGGTTATGACTACAATTAAGGTGCATTGCTACTCGTTGCACATAACATATGGTTTAGATCAAAGTGTCCCGGTTCATAGGTAAATTACTCGACAAACACGACGGAGAATAGGTCGGGAATTTGGCAGTGTAATTGTTATTTTTGTTCAGAAATGAACGACAAATGTTGTAACGATGGGAAGCTGAAAGCTTTGATAACGTTTGTAATTTCTTATTAGAACTATTCATACCAAGTGTTAATTCAGCAAGGCTTCGTCACAAATTGAAAGAATGAGGATATGATGAGAGCATTCTCGAATGAGAGAAATTCTCTTTATTTAGGCATGACGTTTTTTGGTAGATAGTCAAGAAATGGCTAGGAAGATGAACTCTGGCTCAATCCATGGGTGGGAAAACAACTCGAAAAGACAGCTAAATTTTCTACATTAACAATCCATGGAAAGGATGATCATTCAATATATAACTAGCTTTCTACAAGACCTGAATAAGCCCTTACCCCCAATTACTTGATGCCCTTGACCCTCCTTCTCCAAGCAGCATCTTCAACTAAAACCAATAATGTTATGGAAGTTGGAGAGACCAGTGTAGATTCAAGTCTCCTATTGACGGAGTGCCATGGTTCTAACTACTAAAATAGGCAATTCAAATGTTGAACTTACTTGGGTTTGAACCAACTTTGAACTACTTGCCTCATCCAAAACAGGAGCATAGCAAGACTCGACAGCATTTTACCGCTGAAATCAAATTCTGGGAATGATATATGCAATCCATGTTTCGACCACATGACCAAAAAGAGTATATTTACACAAATAATGAAATACTTGACAGACATAATGATATATTGCAAGGAGTTAATTTCTTGGTAAGATATTCTTCTACTTGTTTTTTCCGAGTTTAACCCAAAATCAAAGATCAGAAACCTGCATTTCGTTAAAAGGGCATTCTTGCGATCTTATTTATCATCTTTGTTACCACCATACTCGGTTGAATTCCCATTCCAGAAGGCATTTCTGTCACGGCTATCATCTTCATCATGTTTTAGTGTGTGAATATTGCTTCCAAAACGAGACGGGTTTTGTTGCTTGCTCTTGCTGTTATTTCTGCTGGTCCCAGGATTGTTTTGGGTTGATGACTGGAGAGTATAGGGTCTTCCCGTGCCCCCTAGGTTATTCTGCAGCGTAGGATTTGGACCTGAATATCAAAAGGCATATGGTGAGAATGAGAAACACAGAGATAATGGTAAACATGGGTCATTAAAGTAGACATCAATTTCCCAGAAAGCAGATAACATATCCCTTTGTTCTCTGTAGAAAATAAATACATAATTTTAAGAAACCACCAACTGCCATGCTCTCATCAAAGAAAACCAAAAAATATTTGAATGGAACTACCAACATTTGAATACTCCCTTTCAAACAACAAAATGAAAAAGAAAGAAGGGAATCATATACTAGAAAAAAGGAAGGTTCTTATTAAAAACATACATATTTAATCCAACATTGCATGTCAAAAACAAGAAAAACAGAGATCATATTTAATTTTTCTCCAATTCCAATTGTAAGGCACCAGTTCCATGCAAACTAACATAGCATCAGTTTCATGATCATTATACACATGAAAGTTTCTACACACTGGGAGACCCCCCATGGATATGTGCGTGTGTGTGTGTGTGTGTGAGAGAGAGAGAGAGAGAGCATATTGGAGATGCATGAAAGACTGGATTTTTTTTGCAAGGATTATACCAAAGTTTTCTGTAAGCAACTGCAGAGAAAGATAAAACTTGTTTTGGGATCTCTATCTATTCACTACAAATGTAACTAACTGAAGTTTGCAATGAGTCCAGGAAAAAACAATTAACCAACCATTTCAACCTAGAGCTTAGGCCCATACATGTTTGATTCAAAAAGAAAAAAGAGCAAAAGAACCAAAAAACCAAATTAAGTGACATCGTTCACTGTAGGTATAGAAACTCACCATATTGCCACGTGCTGGTCTGTGATTCCTGCATAGAATTTGATGAGCTGGCACCACCACCAAGATAGGAGAAAGGATTCATGTAAGATATAATCCTTTTTACGAATGTAAAATATCCTTCATTGCTTCCATTTGAAGAATCAACTAGAGTGTTGTAATTTGATTGATTACGAGAGGAAGATCCTCCTCCATAATGAAAAGTAGATTGGCCACGGGGAACCACTATCAATGCTTGCCTGTTGAAAAGACCCAGCTCCGACAATGTTTGGTTCAACTCTGCACCCATATCAAATTTAAAGGAAAATAAAAAATAAAAAAAAAATAACAGTTGAAATATATTCTTTACATAAACATACAGATCAAAATGTACAAATATCCTTGAGATATACTATTGTCCTCCAAAAAAATACTCTGAAGATTTAGATACAACGCAACAAATTAAAAAGAATCTTATTCCATAAACATGTTTGATCCTAAATTACTTGCATGTCATAATATATATATATATATATATATATATATATATATATATATATATTATGACATGCAAGTAATTTAGGATCAAACATGTTTATGGATATATATATATATATATATTATGACATGCAAGTAATTTAGGATCAAACATGTTTATGGAATAAGATTCCTTTTAATTTGTCTATATATATATATATATGAGAGAGCGAGAGGGAGCATCTGTATCGGTATATCAATTACCTTCACTTTGTAATATAAGCCGAAAGCTTCTCTAAAAATTCATGTAGCTCGACAAAACATAAATTTCAGAAACAATATTATTCTCCAACCACCACCATTTAAGGTATTTGAGGATCACATTTGGCTCTCTTAGTTGGCCAAACATGCATGGATTCATTTGAAACATAATGCTCCTTGATCCATTTAACATTTTTCAATTTAAATATATAGACTTGGGATATAAAAAAATAGAGATAGGGAGAGAAAGAGGTGAGGATGGAAATAAAAAGAGAAACTCAAGAGAATGAAAGAACTTTGCCAAAGATCAAGGAGGATGAAATTCTGCTGATTGGTAACTCTTGACTTCTAAAAGCAGAATTCTGTCTCCAACTTAGAAGTGAAAACAAGTAGAGTTCAGCCTATATTGTTGAAGATGAAAGGAAACATATAACAAAAATAAGCAAAAATTCATGTTGAATTGTCATTCCAAAGCAACCCCAATAGATGAATGCAGTTCCCGGTATTAAAACGTACTTTCTATGCTCTTCATCTAGACATTATACAAATCTAGAGTGATTATGGAGCATTGCTGATAGTTACATGAGTCCTAAGAATATTGAACACTCTAAGCAAGAATTATATAATAGCTAGGCTGACACTTCCTCACTCCCAACTACGTGACTGACAAACAACATTGCACAATATGGCTTAAAAAAAGAATAATGGTAAACAGAATTAGACTACGGATTTACATAAAATTTAGGGGAACATGGAAAGAAAAACCCTGAACTTTCCCGAACATTATTATTATTTTTAAATAAACCCCTTGTATTATTAATTTGGCAAAAAAAAAAAAAAAAAAAAAAAAACCCTAATGCTTCCAAAAATGTTGCATGAGCCCCCGTCTGTCTCTCTCTCCCCTTCAGTATTGATGAAAACCCTGAATAACCTCGACCCTTCCTCCCTCTGCCCTGGATGTTGCTTTGCCATTAGAAAGGGAACATAAATCCAATCACATGCAATACACATGACATATATAATGTTATTTATCACTATTATACCCTTTTTATTGTACCCTATGTTATTGGAGCATACTTGATCCGCAAGAATTACCCATTTTGGAACTGAAGCTGTGACCCAACAGCCATCCCTTCTCTTAATATAACATATGAGCACGTTACATTAATTATGTCTTATGTATGCAAATGTCAGGACAAGTCTTGTAATCTATGGGGATGAAGATGGAAACTATGGATAAATCAAGTGATGATTCTGAATCAGATTAATTACAACCACTATAATCTGGGTTAAGGAATTATGGATGCCATGATGGTGTGGTGGTAAAGGGAGAAAGTAATGAAGCCCAAAGTAATGTAGTATGACGGTGTTAGTTTGTTGAAGTGGCTTTGGTCGAAGTTATTTATTTATTTATTTTCAAAAGAGGATAGACAAATTGCAATAGAGTTGATAAATTCAGTAATTTTGAATGCTTACTCAAGATATTTAACACGTAGGCCTTAATTGCAAATTATTTTTTTTATTTTTATCAATGCCTTAATTGCAAAATTTTGATAGCTTAAGGGGATATTTGCTAACCAATGGTATAATCTCCCTACCCGTCAAAGAGGAGGGGAGGGGTTCAAACCCCGGTATGGGCTGTGTGTGTGAGTACTTAACTGATCAGATTGATGACACGAAATGAGAGAAGAAGTACAAAGATTTTACCAAAGAAACAAGGTAGAAGGAGATGTGTTATCAAAACTTTGAGCATATTTACCTTCTTAAATTTAATCCATACAAATAATCAAATGTACTGACTTTTCTCTTAAAAAATACTTCCCTCCCCCCAAGAGGGCAGTTTCTGGAACAGAAAGGACAATAAAAAATTGAAAAAAATTATAGTTCTAGTTACGAATAAGCTCCCTCCTTGCAATTCTCCCTTGCCCCTTTTTTTGCTCCACCACTCTCTCACGATCTATTTTTAGCTTGGAGAATCAGTAACCCATCCTAGAATTCTAAATGCTCGGGTTACCTTGAAAGAAGAAGCAAAGATGTAAACCAAAAAAAATTTGGTTACTTGCTAACTGAACAGATCAGATTTTTCTGTAAAGCTTGTAGGCATCATCATTTTGTTCTCACTTCTCTCTTTCCTTTGCTCCCATTTTGCTTCACACCAAAATTATGAATTAGAGTAAAAGAATTAGACGAATTAGCAAAGAATTTCAGAAGAGCCATCCCACTTATTATCCACCCTCATCTCCCATACCATGAGCATTACAGCACCACTTTGCTCAAATGGTCATCAAACCAATTACCCACAACAACCACCACCAAGCCTTTTCCCAATTACTTGGGGTCGGCTACATGAATCTATGTCTCCATTCCGTTCTATTTAAGGCCATAGCCTCAGTCAATCCACATGCTATCATATCTTCCTTTACTAACTCTACCCACGTTAACCTTAGTCTTCATCTTCCCCAAGTATAACCCTCAATGTGGGCTATGTAACTTTTTCATCAAACCAATTACCCATAATATATAAATAATATATGGCAGAAATTGGTGCAAGGAGGCAATGAAATGAAATAGCAAGGAAACCATTCTCTTAAGTAAAAAATAACATGATCATACCAATCAAGCAAATTAGTTAATTCAAAACAAGTAGGCAAGTAGAGTGCCCGATATTCATACCTTGATCATTGAATACTTTGCGAGGATAAGGAACAGCTAAATCATAAGAGCCAATGCCACTTGCTTGGTTTTCATCTACATAGACTTTGACCATTCTCAAAGTGCTCGTTAAGGAGAACTTCTCTTGTAGGCTAGAACCATCGGGCAACCGGATATTCAAATGAACATCAGTTGATTTACTCATACTTAAGTCTGAAACATCAGCATTCCTTTCTTCTACTGTTTCAGCCTTTTTATCTTGTACAGTTTCACTTGATTCATTAGCAATCCCTTGAGAAGCTACCACAGTAACTTCAGAATGATGATCATCCACGCTTGAGTTGACTTTGGTGTCACTACATCCATCTTTAACGCTGAAGGACATATGAGCAATTCCAGTGCTGTCTTGGTCAGCCTTCACAGGATTACGTGTTTCTTTGGGAGTTTCCGCCGACAAGATGGACTGTTCAGCCTCACCACTTTCCAATACATCAGATGACCCAAGAGAGACTTTGTCACCATCTTTGGAATTAATTTCCTGTTCATGTAAATGAAGCATAACAGGTTAATGAAATCACAAAAACATGCAGTACAGTTGATATGTATTCTACCAACCAATGCCAGAAGTATGAGTTTACCTCAACTGACTGTTCACAACCACTATTTTCCTTTATTATCTGAGAGTGAGTTTTAGCCTCAGAGCATTGGACAAGTTTGGCTGTTGAAGGTGACGAATTATCTGTGCTTGAAGAACTTCCTTGCTCAAAAGAGGCTGTTGAAGGTGACGAAATATCTATGCTTGAAGAACTTCCTTGCTCAAAAGAGACAGTATCAGAGACCCCAGAAGCATGAGGTTCGGATTTCTTTGAAGCGAGTGCTGCAGTTAGAAAACTCGCAGTTGTTTCCTACAATTTGTGATTGAAAATAACACATCTTGTTCAAATTAAATGGCAAAAGAGCAATTGGCAAAGTGCAAGTTCATTATATGCTCTAGGATCCTATATCATAGAGTGCAGGACTGCATAAGTAGAATTACAAAATGATGCCAAAACCAGGACTGTGTATTGAAAAGGGAAACAGCCCGGATTAAGGGTCACAGGTTCAATTGTCACATCCTGAATTTCATTAAGTTCTATATTGGCTATTATGAGCTTTATAGTGAATACCTGAGCTAACATTTCATATTTAGTTGGGAAGGTGAAACTGGACTTGGAAATTTTGATTGAAATAAATGAGACGAATTAAATAAGAAAATAATAGTAATATTTTAGTGTGCTGAGAATTTTAGGACAATTTATAAATTAACAAAAAAAAAGTAAAATAAAAAGTTTGTACGGCTTTCTATGTTCTTGGAAAGAAAGTAAAATTGTGAAAGTTAGAGGACTTGGAGTAGATATGAAAAGTATTTTAATGGTGGTTTAATGTGAAATAAAGAAAAATAGGTGGGTTGGAAAAAATAATAATAATAAATAAATAAAATAAAAATAGTTAAACAGCAGCGGACAATGTGTTACCTACATGCAGTAGGTCATGCTTATTAGAAATATATATATATATATATATATATATATATATATATATATATATATATCTAAGAAAATGCTTTGAAAGACCATATATGGCCTTTGACGCGTGGCAGGTATATACTCTTAACATATGCACACTTGTTACACAAGAAGCATACGCATGCGTCTACCAGCAAAAGCCATAAACGCAACTATTTATATCTTGTGTCTTAGACTTATGAAGAGAGAATAAGGCACTAACCAGCACAATAATCGCTGGAGAAGAAAACTGTGTGTGTGTGTGTGTGTGTGCGTGTGTGTGCGAGAGAGAGATTTGGTTTAGTGAAGAACATTATGTATGCATGTATAACGCATGTGAAGAGAGAGAAGAAGAGGTGGGTTTCCTACATTTTTAACTGTCAGGAAATTTTTTTATTTCAAAGGTGCTAAAAAGTATAAATTTCCACATGAAGGTTTCTTTACTTACGGATTTTGATATTAGCTTGCTCAATTACTTCTCTTAGGATGGAAATTTGTTGAGATTTGTTGAACTCAGAACTGTTTGTAAAGGCTGAATTTTGAACTGAACATTGTGGGGATAGGGCTGAAATTAACATAACTTGTTATCTGCTTTTGAAATTTTGAAACAATATAGTATACTGATTTATGAGGTTGTGGTCTTTGATTTGACTTAATTTTATCAAAAAAAATCTTCTGTTAAAGAAACCGCTCAAGTGCAGAAAATAGTTGTCTTTTTCCCTAATACAGTATGTTAGCTTCGATTTGGCTTTGGTTCAATGCAATTAGAATTAATATTCTATTTTTTATGAATTTTAAAAGAGAAGATGTTTTTGCAGAAAATTGTTTGGGACAGCAGTGTCATTTGGTGAATTTAATCCATGTCTACTGTTGGATTTTAAAGACTGTATTTTGAGAGAAGAAAATATACATCTATTTCTCTACAAATTAGTTTTACCATTTGATATGAAATATTCGATTTCTAGTGAATTTTCAAATATGAGCCAAGGCTGTGGTGGAAAGATTGTTATTCATAGAAAGTTGTATATGATTACATATTTTGGTAATGGGTTTTGGTCCTTCAATTGTGTATGTGTCTGGCATGAAATATGTAGGGTAAGATATTCTTCCATTTTACTGCAAGGCTAATGAACCTGCAACCTTTATTGATTCTTTTCGCCTTTTGGTATGCGTTCGTTCTTGGATGTTGCTAGGTTGCCTCATTTGTTTCAAGGAGGAACTGTGAGATCTGCAAATACTTACAGAGGTCCTTCGATCTTTTTGGATGATGATTCGGTTGGAAGAAGAAGAGAGGACCTCCGATCGTGTTTGGTTGGGAAATTTGATAAGGAAGTGGGTGATAGGGCTCAGATCGCGGCTTGGGCTTCTCGAGTTTGGAAGGTTTCCTCCGGAGTGATTGTCTCACCTCTACCAGATTCTCTATTGCTCTTTCGTTTTCCCTCTCCGACAGAGGCTTCTTGCGTGCTTAAAGAGGGTCGCCGTGAATGGGGGACGGCAATTTTACGAGTGGACAAGTAAAGTTTCAGGGTGGGGTGTTCTAGAGTGATGAAAGGTTTGGGGTTGAAGATGGTGACGTTGTATGGTCTTCCTCTTCACTTATGGAGTCATGCCTTGTTTGTTACAGTCGGTGATTTGTGTGGAGGGTTTATTTGGATGGATGCTGATGAAGCTGTTGACGCTGAAAGGGTCCGTATCACAGTGTCGAACGGTAAAGTTTTCCCTCCTTTTGTCTTCATTCACAATGATCGGCTCTGTTATAAAGTGGCGGTGTGGGAGGAGAAGCCTCTCGATCTTGTCCCGACGACGAATAGTTTGGAAGGAGGGGATGGTTCACACTTGCTTAAGGAAGTTGATTGTTTGAGGTGGGAATCGATGGGGAGGAAGGGTCTGGCTGAGTTTCAGAGATGGAAGGAATGGAGGGATGCGCTTAGGGTTCGTAATATAGAGTGCTTTCGTCGGATTTTTTCTCTGAAACGAAAGGAAGGTTCGCTGGCTATGGTTGATTGTCGCCGGCAAGCTGGTGGTCGATGTTTTCAAAGGGGGAATTTTTATCGGGCTCAGCCGTCAGCCATTTTTGCAGAGGTGGGATCGGGGACACAACCGTGGTGGGTTTCACGTGAATCATGCGCGTGGGTGGAGTTGCCAACCAGACACGTGGTTAGCGCTCAGGAGGCGGTCATACCAAGTGGTTTACAGCTGGAACCAACTCGTTTTCAAATTATTGGGCTTCAAAGGCTGGGATTCATTCCTGTGCTGATGGATGTGTTGTTGGCCTAATGGTGGGCTGGTGAGAAGGGTTTCTGGAGCTTCTGCTTGTGGACAGATGATTGGGCTTTCTTTTGGTTCTTCCGACTCTAGACAATGCCATTGGGTTCGGGCAGTTCTCTCCCATCTGCTTGTGGACCAATTGAAGGTGCGACGGTCCATCTGTTTTCTGCTAATGGGTCTCTGGGTCTGGGCCGTGGTCTTCAAAGTGGACTGGGATAGACTGTTGCTTGTTCTGGCCAGATTTGGATATTTCTTTTGGGCCATTGGTTCCTGCGGTGATCGACAATGGTCTTAAGCCATCCAGTCCTTTACTTGATTCCAGAGATGGTCGTCGTCCAAAGGGACCGGTTCATGGGCACCATTTGAAGAAGAAAATTTCTTTTCCCCATTTCCGTAAAAGATGGTCAAGAAAGGAGAAGCAAAAGTGGGTGCCGTGTCTGCAGAATGCAATTGATTCGAGTAAGTCCATTTCTTCACATGGACATTTTGCTTTTCAACCTTCTTCTTCTTTTTCTTCTCATCCCTGTGAGGTGAATCAAGGGAGTTTGGGGGCTAAGAAGGGTGTGTTGTCCTCTGTTTCTAATTCTATGTCCCCGGCTCTTGAGGAGTTTCCTGTACCTGATTGTGTGGAGCGGCATGGTGGAGGTTGTGTTAACGAGCTAGGTTCCTCTCGACAGTGTGATAGTTGTTGCGAGGGAGTTTCTGTTTGTGTGGGGAAAGATGTGAGGATCGCGCTTGATGAGGCTACATCTAATGTCTTGTTGAAGGAGTTGCGGGACCATTTGGCCTCGAAGGGTCTGCAGTTTGATTCTAGATATTCTGGGCCTGATGAGGAGGTTGTGACTCCGTGGACTTGTTGTTCTCCTCCTTTTTCTGATGCTTGGGAGGGAAATGCAGCTTCTTCCATTGTTAGGAATTGGGGCTGGTCCAATTGGAAGGGAATGAGGCTGAGGTTGATATGGTTGTCCCTTTGGCTGTAATCCGACCGGAGGGTGGGAGTGGGAGGTTTTCTGGTGCAGTTGAGGGAACGGATTGTAAGGAGGAGGAATGGTTGAGGGAGAAGGGTGGAGAGGAGGGTTCTCTTTTGGGTGTTTCTTTTGAAGGTAGGTTGGATGAGGCGGTGAGGTTGTTCCATAATGTTCTTGATGCTCAACTTTTGGATAGGGCGGGAGGAAGGGTTGGTGCTCTGATTGGGAGGGGGGAGAGGGAGTTGCGGAGCCCCTCTGATTTTGTTACTTATGAGAGGAGGAATAGGGGGTCCAGGGAGAGGTAGAGTGGAAGGAGGAGTGGGATTACTTTTTCATTTGTTTCCTTATGAAGCTATGAATTCTTTCATGGAATGTCCGGGGTCTTAATGACTCGGCTAGAAGAAGAGTTCTGAAGTCGGTGATTCGTAAAGAGGGAGGTCATGTGGTTTGCCTTCAAGAAACCAAAATTGCTTCGATGACAGACTTGATGGTGCGTAGCTTGTTGTGTGTTGGGAGGGGGGGGGGGGGGGGGGGGGGCGGGCGCTTGCTTTGGATGCGGTTGGTTCTTTGGGTGGTATTCTAATTATGTGGGACAATCGGTGGGTCTCTTTAGGGGACTTTCAGGTGGGGCTTTTCTCTACCTCATGCGTCCTCTCTTTGTTGGAGGATGGCTTTCGCTGGGTTTTCTCTAGGGTTTATGGTCCTACAGAGGATAGTGTGCGTCGTCTTTTATAGGAGGAGTTGGGAGATGTTCGAAGGAGATGGCCGTTGCCTTGGTGTATTGGAGGGGATTTCAATGTTGTTCGCCCTCCTTTTGAGAGGTCTTCGGGGGGCAGGTGAACGGTTGTCATGGAGTCTTTTTCGGAGTTCATTGATGGGGCGGGATTGTTTGATCTGCCTTTAGTGGGTGTCCCTTTACTTGGTCTAGTGGGTGTTCTCCTCCTACCTTCTCTCGTCTTGACAAGTTCCTTGTGTCAAATGATTAGGAGGAGAAGTTCTCCGATGTTGTTTAGGCCACTTTGGCTCGTCCTATTTCTGATCATGTCCCTTTGATGTTGGATTGTGGTGGTTTGCGTAACAGAAGATCCCCTTTCAGATTTGAGAATATATGGCTTAGGCTAAGGGTTTTCTGGAGCGTGTTCTATCCTAGTGGGCGGGGTATGGAGTGGTTGGCTCCCCAAGTCATTCTCTTGCTTGTAAGTTTCGTCTTTTAAAGAATGATATCAAAGTCTAGAACAAAGAGGATTTCGGTAATCTGGTGTGGAGGAAAAATCGTGTTTTTTCAGAGATTGCTGGGATTGATCGGACGGAGGGCCAAGGCATATTGGCGGAATCTCTGAAACTTAAGAGGGTGGAGTGTCAGGCAGAGTTTGCTGAGATTGCTGTCATGGAGGAGATTTCGTGGAGGCAAAAGTCTCGAGCCTTGTGGCTTAAGGCGGGCGATAATAACACTAAGTTTTTTCATAGACTTGCGAATGCTCATAGAAGGGCAATCACATTGGGAGGATCCGGGTGGATGAGGTGATGTTTTGTAAGGAGGAGGAGATTTGTAAGGGTAGTGTCGATTTTTACTCGATGTTGTTTACATAATCTGTTGGTTGGAGACCCTTGCTTGCAGGGCTTCATTTTGACTCTATTTCGAGTGAGGAGTGCTTTGTTCTGGAGGAGCCTTTTTCTGAAGAGGAAGTTTTGTCTGCGCTGAACAGCTGCAACGGGAACAAAGCCCCTGGTCCAGATGGTTTTTCCATGCGGTTCCTTTTGGAGTATTGGGAGGTGGTTCGTGAGGAAGTGATGGGTTCTTTTCATGTTTTCCATGCTCAGGGCTCTTTTGAGAAGACCCTGAATGCCACTTTTATTGCTCTCATCCCGAAAAAGGGAGGGGCACTGGATGTTAGGGATTTTCGCCCTATCATTTTGGTGAGGTGTCTTTACAAGTTGATTGCTAAAGTCCTGGTTTCTAGGTTGAGGAAGGTTTTGGATGGTATCATTTCTGATTCTCAAAATGCCTTTGTAGGTGGTCGTCAAATTTTGGATTCAGTCCTTATTGCTAGTGAATGTGTGGATTCCAAGTTGAGTAGTGGTGATCCGGGTGTTCTATGTAAGCTGGACATTGAGAAGATGTACTATCATGTGAGTTGGAGTTTCCTTCTTTACTTGATGGAGAGGATGGGGTTCAGTGCGCGGTGGAGAAAATGGATCCTTTTTTGCATTTCCAGTGCTCGCTTCTCTGTCCTTGTGAATGAGGCTCCGACGGGTTTCTTATCTAGTTCGGGGGGATTGAGACAAGGGGATCCTCTTTCTCCTTTCTTGTTCCTTTTTGTGATGGAGGCTCTTAGCAGATTGATTAAGAGGGCGGTCGAGTTGGGCTTTTTGAGAGGCTTTCGGGTGGGTAGGGATGCTGCTAGTCAATTGGAGATCTCCCACTTGATGTTCACCGATGATACTTTAGTGCTTTGTGATGCGAATGCGTCCTAGTTGAGACATCTGAGATGCGTTTTGATTTGGTTCCAAGTGGTCTCTAGGCTAAAGGTTAATGTCGGAAAGAGCATTCTTGTGCCGGTTGGAGAGGTCCCTGAAATCGAGATGTTTGCTCAAATTCTTGGATGTTGCACTGGCTCTTTTCCCATTTCTTACTTGGGGTTGCCCCTGGGAGCTCCTTTGAGGTGTGTGAGAAGCTGGGATCCGGTTGTGGAAAGATTTGAGAAGAGACTGGTAGGATGGAAAAAGCAGTACCTCTCCAAGGGGGGCCGGGTCACTCTGATTAAGAGTACCCTTTTATGCCTCCCACGTATTTCATCTCTCTCTTTCGGATCCCTTCTTCTGTGGCTGAGAGAATTGAAAGGAGAGGGGGGGAGAGGAGAGGAGTTCAAGTATCATTTGGTTCGTTGGGATCAAGTGTGTTGTCCGATTCGGAGTGGAGGTTTAGGAATCAGGAGTTTGCTGCCTTTCAACAAGACTCTCCTTGGGAAATGGCTTTGGAGGTTTGGGGTTGAGAGGAGTTGGCTGTGGAGGAGGGTTATCGCGATTAAATTTGGAGAGAGCACTGGAGGGTGGAGTACTCTTGAGGTGCATGGTCCTAGAGGGATGGGGGTGTGGTCTCTCATCCGGAAGGGGGGGATGAGTTCAGCAAACATGTCCGTTTTCGGATTTGGGATGGTAGGAAGATCAGATTTTGGGAGGATCTTTGGTGTGGAGAGCGTCCTCTTGCTCTTACTTTCCCTCGGCTCTTCAAGATTGCTTCTCATAGACAGGCCATAGTGGTTGATTGTTATCATCTTGATAACGGGAGATTGACTTGGGATGTTCAATTTATGAGGCATTTTCAAGACTGGGAAATTAAGGAGGTCACTCGCTTTTTGGATTTGTTGTACCGCCAGGTGATTACAGTTGGGGATTCGGAATGTTGGCTTTGGGATCCTAACTTTCAGGGCCATTTCGAGGTTTTATCCTTTTTCAAGTGTCTTACGCTTGGCTCTGGAGGTCCTTTCCCTTGGAAGTCTATTTGGCGGTCTAAGGCTCCTCTCAAGGTGACCTTCTTTGCTTTGCTTGGACCTCTGTCTTGGGTAAGATTCTTACTCAGGATAATTTGAGGAGAAGAAACCAGGTGGTGGTTAATCAATGTTATTTGTGTCGGAGCAACGAGGAGACTGTGGATCATATTCTGTTACATTGCAGAATGGCTAGGGACTGTTGGGATTTAATACTTGGTTTGTTTGGGATCCCTTGGGTCATGCCTCGCTCCTCTAGAGGGTTGATTGAGGCTTAGAGAGGTTTCTCAGTGGGGGCTCTCATTTAGGATGCTTGGAGGGCTACACCTCTTTGTATTTGGTGGTGTATTAGGCTCGAGAGAAATCGGCGCTATTTCGATGGAAAGGAGAAGCCTTCTTCTATGTTTAAGTTTTCTATTATTTCCACTCTTTTTTGTTAGGTTTCCGGGAGAGATTATAGATCTGTAGAAAAGATTGTGGTTTTTTTGGCCTCTTTGAAGGCTTGAGGCACATCTTGGCCTTTTGTTCGTCTTTGGGTTTCGTTCCCCTTCTGAGCGCTTTCTTTATAAAATTTTACTTATCAAAAAAAAAAAAAAAAAAAAATGAAATATGTAGGGTAAGAGACTCCCTTGGGTTGAGAGACTCTATACAGCCCGGGTTTAACGAGGGGTTGTTCACAGTCCCTGGGTGCGAGCCCCTAAAGCCGAAGGATAGGGGCGGCAGTCCTGGGGGGAAGGTCCCTAAACTCCTAAAGACACATAGGGTACACGTTGTTGGACCGGTTATTGTATCGGTGATGGTTCTTGTATTTGCTAATTCAGATTGGATTATTTGACTTATCCTCCCTTAAATTGAAACCTGTGGTATGTAATTGAAATATTACTACTTTGCTAAAGACCATATTATTACCATATTGGAATGACTCAAGAGCTCTTCTCGATTTGAAAACTCATGATTTGGGAATCAAATTTGAACAATGTGCTAAGGAAAATATTAATTAGATCCGGCCGCCTAATTTCCCCTGGTTCAGTTTCATTTTACAGCAATTGTTCAATAGTCACTACTCTGTGATTCATGTGACATGTTATCTATGACTTACAAAAAACTGAAGAATTTTCTTAAAGAATTTGGAAACCTACTGGGTTCATTGAGCTCACCCAAATTTTTCTTTAAAACATTTTCAGGTTCACGTTCGGACAGGAAACTTCAGGAAGCAAAGCTAAGACGGCATAAGATGGTCAGTGAGTTACTTTGTGAACTTGAATTTTAATTTACTAGAATGGTCTAAGAGTTATTTGAGCCTTGGAGCATCTAATGGTTTGGGATCTTGGTATTTTCAGTAAATTGTGGTTAAAACCATGTGCTTGTGGTGACCGGGGCGTGACATCAATCAATATGTCAAAGATGGTTAACAAGATGGGTAGGGGTATGCTGACCTTACAGTTGACCCAATAATCCTCAGATGAAGGTTCGGGGAGCATGACGTCTGTAAATTCTATAGCACAAGCAGGGACAAGTTAGCAAGGGTAGATCAATAATACTCCCTCCATCCCATATTAGTTGTCCCTTGGGGAAAGTAGAACTCCTCAAGGGAAAAATGCAATTAATGCATTGTCCCCCTTTTTAAACAACCAAGGTATCCTTTCAAGTTTATTTATGTGTGTGTGTGTGTGTGTAATCAAATGAGAAACTTTTTAAAACTTAGAAGGGTATTTATGGAAAGCTGCATTTATCTAATTTGGAATTTTTAAGTGGGACTAGTATTCTGGGAGAGCCAAAAAAAGAAAGATTCACAATTAAATTGGGACGGATGGAGAATAAATAACTAAACTAGGAGGAAAATGCCGTGAGGTAGTGTAAATGCACCTGAGGGAAGGGAAGGTTAGTGTAATTTGCTGCACATATAAACGCATAAATGTATGCTTCATATATGATTATATCAATATTTCAGTTGATTATAGTTGATAACTTGTTGACGTTGTGCAACATACGAATATAACAATTATTGTTCATCTAGAAATACACCTATAACTTGGGTCAAAACAAGGTCCAAAAGAAGTTCAGCTTGCAGAACATTGGAGTGTGTTGAAATGGTAGCATAGCACAACAGGAGATATTCCCACTACATAAGGTTCAAGGCACTAAGGATATGATACTGTAGCACGGTATCCACAACAGGAGCTATTCCCACTACATAGGTTCGGGGCACTATGAATCCGATAATCAATGGTACAAAACAGCTGCAGTGGCTAATATAATAATAAAAGAAGAAACAATCTGCAGAAGCCTACCTGGATATGAAGACTCAGCCATGCCTTCTCAAGACTGGATGCCAGAATTTCAGCACTGACAAAGCCCTCTGCGCAGTATTCAATTAAAAAGAAGATAAAACAAATTCATAAGTTGTTGTGTATGATTGTCAAAAATAATAATAATGTAAGCTTCCATTTCAGAAAAATATCATACCATTTTGCCACAGTTGTATCCCATTGTATCCGATGGCTGTTATACAAGGAACAGATTTCTGTGGATCTGAACAGGTTTATGTAAGGAAATACAGCTGACTTTTCAAATATTAGAAAAAGCTTAAATCTACTCACTAAACCAACAAAAATAAAACAATGACAGTTGATATCCCTAAGAAACAGAACAACTTCAAAATGTACCAAGAGTGCAAGTTTAAGCCTCCAAAGGAAAAGTGATGTACCTAACCCAGCAGAAAAGAAATAACACATCTAACAAGAACACATCAATATTTTGTATCTGATTTAAGACATGGATTCTGGTCGTTGGAAAGGACATGGGTGATTTCTTAATAGTCAGACAATTAACATAATAACACTAAGAATAATAATTCTGATTACATTCAACATCATGTGGAATGAATATGCATAATATGGAGGGTAAGTTTACCAAGAAATCTGAAACTGAGCTATAAGTAATAACATAGGTTCTAGGTTGATATCATTAGCAAGGGACATATCTGCTTAAGGAGAAGGACAGCTAGATCCAAAAAAAAATTGGTTAGGTAAGTACTCACACACGCATTTTTACAAATTGCCTACTCCGGAGCCCGAACTCCTCGCCTCCCCTTTGACGGAGGAAAGGTTATGCCATTGGGCTAATGGCCCATTGGTGAGAGATCAAAAAGTTCTGCAGAGACTAAATTGAGATATAAAGTGGACGGAGATCCATAACAGTGATTGGCATTATATCATAATCTTCTTCATAAAATAACTTAGCTGCAACAGATGTATTTGATTGTTAGCAGAAGATGACTGAATGCACAAACAAAAAATAAATTGATGCTAAATAACTGTTTTCCTTTTTTCTTTTCTTTTTTTTTTTTCTTTTTTTTTTTTCGTTTTGTTTTGTTTTGTTTTGTTTTGTTTTGTAATAATATAACAAAATTCCCAGTATGGATGTATACTAGAAGTGATGTTATTTTTAATAAACCAGACATTCAGAATCGTAGAGCTATGTCGTCTCCCTTAAAAGATAAAAATAATAAAATAAAAATAATTGTCCACCTAATATACCTTGCTAAAAGATATCTAACAACTATTCACTTTGTTCAAGGAAAGAGGTATAGCTGCACCACTATCTGAATACCCAGAAAAGGGAAGAATGACAACAAATTCAATTCATAATTATATTGCTAAGAACTTGACATGCAGAAGATATCTTATTTGCAGAGCTCAATGCCAACTAATATTATGAATGGTAGTAAATTCAGTCCTTCAACTTTCTGAAGAATGTCATTTAAGCATTGGATACATATTTCAGAAAATTGTGCCGCATCAGAACTCCCTTCAGAGATGTGCAACAAAATGCAATACTTCAATAATGACTCCGCAACCTGGATGCAGCATGCAGCAATAAGGTGGAACCAGATGTAAAACATTGTACAAATTTATAAATCAAATATGAAGGATAAATACTGAAAGTGAACCAACATTTGACTCAGTCCATGTGTTTTCTAAACGAAGTGACTCCGCATCATCACCTAGAAATGAGAAACTGAGAAGTTAGAGAAATAATATGAATAACTTTGTGAATGTAAAAGAAAATGAGAAAAGAACTTAAGTTGCATATTAAGGTCAATTGTCACAAGTCTAAGCTCTAGATGCACCTAGACAATAAATAATGGTGAAAAGAATCAACAGTTCAAATGCATGTCTCGAAATAGAATAATCTTACAGACCAGCAGCACCATCAAAATTGGGGGTTTGGGTTGGTGGGAGGGGATGAATTTTCGAACCTAGCAAGTCTAGTGACCAACAAATCTGTCCATAGCAAAGTGAATAGTTTTATTGCAAAGAAACAGAGAAAAAAAACTACCAAAATTGCCGCTGATATATTCAACACATGATTTCTTATGGACTTAAACTAACCAATCACAAAATTGCATGATTGCTTATGGACTTAAACTAACCAATCACAACATTGCATGATTTCTTATGGACTTGAACTAATCAATCACAATATTGCATGATTTCTTATGGACTTTTTTTTATTGGTATGGTATTAAAGACAGCGCTCAAAAGGGAAGCGCATCCCAAGAACTACACATGGGCCAAATAGGGCTCTTAAACACTCAAAGTATCCATAAAATCCACTATCTCCCCTATAGATTTACAATTTCTCCCCCAAAGCCCGAAAAAATAAAGTGTGAAGGACAGAGAACTTAAGCACACTAATAGGAACTTCCTCTCCTTCAAGGGATCTCCTATACCTTTCCCTCCACAAAGACCACCATAAACACAAAGGAACAGCTCTCCAAGCATCTCTAGCCTGAGCTCCCAATGGAAAACCTCTCCAAGCCTCAAGAACACTCCTCATGGAAAGAGGCATAGCCTACTGGACCCTGATTTCTTATGGGGCTAAACTAACTAATCACAATATTGCATGCACAAGATTTGTTCTGTGGTGCCCTGATGTCTATATCAAGCTAAGACAACCGTAACTGAAACAAAATCCAGCCTATTTGTGACCATCAATTCTATGTTCCATTCAGATAGGACCAGCTAGCTCCCAAAATAATATGCATTGGGTGTATGGATCCCATGCCACCCAAAATCCAACAACAAATACCACTACACTCCAAAATTATTATTTTAAACCTCGATAAGTTAGAATTCATATTCCTTGCTGCCCTGGGGTTGGGGAGAAGGACCTTATAATTCATCTTTTCCAGGCAAATCTGATTAATGCTCCGTTTGGTTGGAGGGATGGAAAAATGGATGGAAGAAGGGGTGGATGGATGAGGAATCCCTAGGGAAGGGAATATGTCTCTCCCATTTTTTTGTTTGGTTGAATGGACTAGATAGTAGAAAGGATGGATGGGATGATATTTTTTTTTTGTTCGGTTGGAAGGAAGGGAAAGAGAGTTTTTATATTTTTTTTACCAATATACCTTCACTGTATAAAATTATAAAAGATAGATATTCATTTTTTTTTTTTTTTTTTAAAGGTTAAAATTGTAAATTTGTAGGTAATTATTCACTTTCTCTCTCCTCCCTTAGCCCCAAAATTGGGTGGATAGAAAAATATGAAGAAAGGAGGGATGAAGCATCCCTCCTTGCTTCCTCCCTCTCTTCCCTTCCCACCAACCAAACATGAAAAGCTTCATCCATCCCTCTTCTCATCCATCCCTCCAACCAAACATAGCATAAATGACCCTCTCGCATTTGTCATAGAAATCAAAAAATAGTTATGGAGAGATCCGATCAATATTTGACACTGCAACAGAACTTCACTCTAATTTTATAAAGAGAAATGTGCCATAGCAAATCAAACACTATATGTTGGCAAGTTCACATCTGGTGTGCATAACAAATACAATAAGGGGATCTCTAACCAAAGAGTTACCATAACTTCTCCAATAATAAATTATTGAGGGGGTAAAAATAGCATTTCTTACACAACCTGCAAAGAGGCTCATATCAAATCTATTTTTCTTGGTGAATGTAAAGGTGGTTCGGGGAGAGGAAATGCCACAATTTCACAAGAAAACAGCCACACATAGGCAAAGCTCCAGTATCTCTTGTACTTCTATCTTTATAAAGCCAAAACCAGAAAAACAAGGCAACTATATATTGAATAGATATCAATCACTTGTCTTCATGGAAGAAATATTTTTTCATTTCATGTTGACCTGTATTTAGTACAAATCAAGTGTTGATGGTGGATGGATGTTAAAAAACTAATAAAAATATGGCGTATCTATAATTTATTGCTAGAGATACAAAATTGAAACAATTGTAACAAGTTTTCTGGCATTACAAAATGACATGCTGGGAAAGCACATAAAGGAAAAATAAAAATAAAAAACACTACAATGAAGTTCCAAGATAGAATCCTTCATCTTCCATGAGCTACTTTTATTACATCCTTTGGTAGGCAAATTAATCATAGGTATGATGAGCCACAGGAATAGCACTTCTAAACTACTTCAGCAATTTATAAACTGAAAGAGACATCTTTACCCCCCAACCCAAAAATAATAATAATAATAATAATTTGCCCCAACACACAGCAGGGCATCCAAGAAGGGAGTTAATATTTTCTACAAAGAATTGATGAATCCCAAAAGAGCAACCACCTCTTCCTCACCCACTTATAATAATCTAATTTATCAAGTAATAACAACTGTCCACAAAGCTATCTAAATTAACAATCCAAGTTCCACCAACTCTAAATCCTAAAAGAAATTCACCCAACAACCAACCACTTCTTTCATTCTAAGGGACCCACGGTACTGCAAAAGGTAAAATATACAACCCACGCAGCCTCTGGTGCCGATTAATGAAAATTTTCAAAGTAGCAATCAAGTCTCAGTCACCAATGTTGAGCACAATTATTGATGCATGATAGCGGAAATTTCTTATGTTCCAGGGCTGAATCACAACGAAAAATTAGTGGGTTCAAAATTACAATGTCAAAAACCTAGGAATTGGCTGCTGGATTCAGAAATTTTAATGGAAAGTTGAAAGAGCAGAAGATACTCACAAGAGTTCGACTGCAAACTAGAAGTTGCTCGCTTAACCATCAAGCAAGGAAACTCATCAATATCTAATCTTATGTAATGTTAAAGGGATTTATTTAAAGGCATTAATATTTAATTCACACATGAGGTTTCTACAATGCCCTCATCAATGTCGATACCCACTGGGACTCAAGTTCCACTTAAGTATAAGTATCTGAAGATTCTAAACATGACTAGACCGCAGCCCAAGCAAAGATTCCTAACCCACCTCAAAAGTTAAAACTCTTGAGCTATGAAAACTTTCTAGTAAATAAAACTTTCTAAATTCGCAGAATCAACCACCAACTTTAACCAAGAAATTCGAAATTAAGAAATCCAACACCAAAACAGATATTAACTTAGACACTCAACTAAATGGTATCTAAAATTTACTGAATACATTTACAACTTTAATATCCAAACGTTAGTATGTGGGTCAAGCAACCCTCAAAAGATTTGGCTCTAATTTGGAGCTCACTCGGTCATAACCTCATACTGAATCATTTCCCTTAAATTCAAAGAGTTCAGCCTTGTCAAATTAAAATTTTGAGCTCCTTCAATCTTACATCAATCAACAAATCAGGCAAACCATAGAACCAAGTATTTAGAATAGGATAGATTCTGATGCTTCTTGTGTGATATTGATGAATATGTATCATTATATCATTGATCTTCAAAGAAATAATTTGTTTCACCATGCAATGAGAAGAAAGTTGTAACAATTCCTAAGTTTATAACTTAATTTAATCATATTTGAAGGGTAACTGCATAAATTTAACAACATAATAATAAAATAGGGATAGCCTACTGTTCTAACTATGAATATAAGAATTAAATATCATTATAGAAAGAAAACTTAGGTGGCATGGTCACATTCATCGTAGACCCAATGATGCACCAGATAGAAGAGGAAGAATTGTTTACCAAGAAGGTAAGGACAAAGAGGCCGACCAAAACTTACATGGGAGGAAGTAAATAAAAACAATTTAAGAAATTAAAACTAAGAGAATACACGGTATAGAATCGGAAAGAATGGAAAAAGAGAAGTCATGTGTCCGACCCCATCCATATGGGATAAAGGCATGATGATGATGATGAATATAAGCAACCGCCCCGAACCAAGTCTTCACTGATTAGGCCTAGGACTGGGAAGTCAAGCTGAAAGCCCGACCCCAGAGAGAAGAAATTGAGCCCACAACCAAGAAGGGCCCAGGAGATCAGCCCAATGCAAGGAGTTAGTTAGGAAGCTTCTAGAAGATATGTAACAGTCTATAAATAGACTGAAAATAGAGGGAAAAGGGGTTGGAAAATATTTGAAGTGTAAGATCATTCTGTCAAAATAAAGAGAGAAATTTCTTGCATCTTCAATCATAAATTTGTAAATAAACATAGGGAAAAAACCCCAATACATAAGCTTGAGAAAAAGAAAAGAAAAGAAAAGGGCATCAATAGATAGGACCTCACCAATTAATAAACTGACACAACTAAGATCTAGATAAGTACTATATTAACTAATTTACAGTGATGCCTATGTTCTCATAATTTTTTTTTTTTTTGATAAGTACTATGTTCTCATAATATGTAGAACTAATAACTGGTTTAATGAACGCATTGGGTAGCGCATGAGGGCTATAAGGGGGCTTGGCTGGGGCTGTCAGACCCCACTTGCTGAGCACAATTTTATAGGCCCACAACTAGGTCATTCTATAATATTAAAATATTCTCTTTATATTTTAAATTGATAAAAATTGGGAAAAGATCAAGAAAAATATTTAAGAAATTAGAGGAAATTATGGAAAATATATAATTAAAATATATTAACTTAATAAGGTCAAAGCACGCCTAGAAATTTGGGTGTAGGTGGGATTTAGGTCGATTAGTTGTCTAATTAGTCTGTAAGTAGCACTTTTAGGCACTAGTTTGTAAAGCATGGAAATCAATCCTTAGCAAAAATTCATAAATTTCTGCAACCTCCAAATTGCTCATCAGATCAGAAGATTGTAAGAATAAATCAGATCAACTCGCCAATACTACTGTACAGGGTCCACTTTGGTGTGGGGAGCTTCCTAGTTGGGATGATTTCTGCAAACATGTTCGTTTTCAGATCAAGGATGGTAGGAGGATCAGTTTTTGGAAGGATCTTTGATGTGGGGAGCTTCCTCTTGCTCTCGCTTCCCATGGCTCTATAGGATTGCTTCTCACCGACAGGCCATGGTGGTTGACTGTTATCACCTTGACAACGGGAGACTGACTTGGGATGTTCAATTTAGGAGGCACTTTTAGGACTGGGAGATTGAGGATGTTTCTCGTTTTTTGGAGGTTTTGTATAGCCAGGTGATCACTATTGAGGAGTCGAATTGTTGGTTCTGGGATCCTAACTTGCAGGGTCATTTCGAGGTTAGGTCCTTTTTCAGGTGCCTTTCGGTTGTTTCTGGAGACCCTTTCCCTGGAAGTCTATTTGGCATTCTAAGGCTCCCCTCAATGTTACCTTCTTTGCTTGGACTTCCGTCTTGGGTAAGATTTTAACCCAGGATAATTTGAGGAAGAGGAATCAGGTGGTGGTCAATCATTGTTATATGTGCTTGTGTAATAAGGAGATAGTTGATCACCTTCTTTTATATTGCAGCATGGCCAGAGACTGTTGGGATTTGACGCTTGGATTATTTGGGGTCCATTGGGTTATGCCTTGTTCCTCTAGAGAGTTGATTGAGGCTTGGAGAGGTGTCTCTGTTGGGGCTCTCATTCAGAATGCTTGGAGGGCTACGCCTCTTTGTATTTGGTGGTGTATTTGGCTTGTGAGAAATAGGAGATATTTTGATGGAAAAAAGAAACCTATTTCTATACTAAAGTTCTCTATTATTTTCACTTTTTTTTGTTAGGTCTCAGGGAGAGATTATAGATCTACGAAAGAGATTATTGTTTTTTTGGCCTCTTTGAAGGTCTAAGGCGCCCTTTCGCCCTTGTGTTTTTTTGGGTTCCACTCCCTTTTTGAGCGTTTTCAATAAAATCTTACTTACCAAAAAAAAAAAATCAAATTTCATCTTCAGTCAAGCCGTCACACACCATGTAAGAGGCACTAACATAAACACTCGTGCTCTTCTGCCATCCAACTTCTCTCACTAAATAGCATTTCTCATCTTGCCACTCATCCACTTTATTTTTATTTTTTTTCTTTTGATAAATCCCATCCACCCTAACATCCACGGGACCTGTGATTCAATATGATCCAACATATTCCACATGAACAATTTTAGTTTATAATGATAGCTTTCTTCGAGTATTCTCATGAGCAATAAAAGTAAAAATTAATTATGCTTAACAAATAATTAAAAGCTATAATTTATAAAATTCTAATATATATACCTTGAATGGAAGCAACTAATGCTATGTTTGGTTGGAGGGAAGGATTGAGGAGGGATGGATGAGGGGGGGGATAAACTAACTTTTTCGTGTTTGGTTGGAGGGAAGGGAAAAGCAGGAGGAAGCAAGGAGGGATGCTTCATCCCTCCCTCCTTTGTATTTCTCTATCCGCCCAAAATTGGGAGGAAGAGGAGAGAGAAAGAAATAATAACTAACACAAATATCAATTTTCCATTTCTAACCTTCCTAAAAATTTGGGATAGATATAGAATTTTTAAATGCTGAGGGCATATTAGTAAAAGAATATAAAAATCCTATTTCCCTTCCTTCCAACCAAACAAAAAAAATGTATTACCCCATCCATCATTTCTACTATCCATTCTATTCAACCAAACAAAAAGTGAGAGAGACACCTTCCATTCCCTAAGGATACCTCATCCATCCCTTCCCCTATCCCTTCCATCTATTTTTCCATCCCTCCAACCAAACGAAGCATAAAAGAATTCAACAAAAGTTGAACAAATAAAGGTCAATAATGCCATCCTGTTGCTCCTCAATATATAATGCAAAACTCCTTGTAATGAAAGTAAATTTTCAGTGTGTCACCACAACTACACGCCTCAGGCACATTTTTATTTTACCCTTTCTTCTTTTGTGAGAAATCATCAGTGCAATTCACTTCAGTAAACAGAGAATTTGTTATGACATTATGTTGCTTATCAATATATATTGCAAAACTCCTTATAATGGAAGTATTGATTCAATGTGTCAACATAATTATATGCCTTGGGCATATTTTCTTTTAACCTTTTTTTTTTCCTTTTTTTCTTTACAGAGATCTTAACAATTTCACTAGAGTAAACAAAGCACCATCGAATTGCACCTTAGGCACAGGTTGCAACTACAAGAAAACATAAAAGCACAGACCGCAATCCGCATAGAGAAGCATTTACCTGAAATGTAAACTACAAATAGTTTCCTTTGCCCTTTGGCTTCGGTGATTGCTTCAATAATCGAACCTTTGAATGCGAGAGAGGATATAGATTGTTCCATCTGTTTGAAATACATTAAAGTGAAAACTTCAATGGAACTAAGAGAGAGCCCGAAACATTACATTAAAAAAATAATAATAATATTAATAAAAATCAAAGAAGAGTAAGGAGCATATTTAATGGATGAAAAGAAAATACAAAATTCAAATGTTCAATAAATAAATAAATAGATAGTATAATTATTTTAAGTTGGCACAACTGTAAGGTAGCTCCATTTTGACCTAGAGATCACGGGTTCAAAATAGGAAACACCTCTTCACAAGGAAGTAGGTTGTGTACGTTTGACCATCCCCAACCCCACAGTGGCACAGCCTCGTATAGTGGGCTAGCCCTTTATATAATTATTTGAAGTTCGAAACTATCAAGCCTAATTTCAAAAACAACTGGACATAAAAGACAAACAGGATTCCGATAATAGCTTAGGTTCTTATAAATAATCACCATAGTGGGAAAGAAGTTGCAGAGAGAAGCACTTTTATAATCATAGTATCCTGCAAAATGAGCCAATGAGTCTTTAAATTGAACTTTCAAGAAAAACAGCAACAGAGGATCAATTCTTCGAGCTGACAGAAATCATAGCCAACTCATAAATTTCTGTTTAACATGAAGCACAGCTCAAATGCAATTGAATCCAATTTCCCTTCAGAGTTATGAGCATATTTAAAGTAAGGTACAACAATTATTAGGAAACAATTGAGTTACTTAATCAAAAAAACCTCTCCAGCTCTGGTAAAAGATTTGAGAATATTAAAGTATTTTACTCAATCAAAGAAAATGTTCCCGGTTTCTGTTCTTGGTGATCTCGTCTGTTGCAGCAGAAAGATAACAAATAAGATACTTAATTGCCAAAAATTGAGAGTAAAAAAATTTCAAAAACTCAAACTACATAAATTATTGGGGATGCAGAAATTATAGGGAATCATGTTCTCTATATCAAAAAATAAAAAATAAAAAAAGGAGGAAAAATTAATAGCTTATATGATTTGATAGGGAATTCCGAGCTCGTAAGAAAGTAAGACTATTTCAAGCATATAATTATAGATATACAATACACGCAATTAACTAACTGGAATTTTCAAGTCTTGCAGCCATCTTTGAACGCAATGAACTTTTATACTAATGTTCTTTCTATTATCTATCGCACCGATGATTTTGGATTGCTCATTCAAAGTTTTAGCAGAACAAATAAAACCCATTTCACATCTCAGTACAAATCGATTCAGTGCACAAATTCACAATTTGGATCCACAAGATCCAGTATTGCAATTTTGACTCTAAGCACTAATAGTCATCCATTTGACTACACAGAGATGTAAGAAAATGATAAATGTATAATTGCGAATCTCGAATTTGCATAATTCAGACCCAAGAAGAACAACAGCCAACGACCCACAATTGAACCCTACCTGGGGATCAGTTATTTTAATCATGAGAATTGAAAATTTGTTATTTACTTTTACTCGGTTTTCTCTAGAACCAAACGAATGAGAACTATCCACATCTATAAAAGCCAATCGAAAACGATAGAAAATTCGTACCTGTATCTGTAGTAAAAATTAGGGTTCGAAATTCGAAGAGAAGAATAAGAAGAAGAAGATTTGTGTGGAAGTGATTCAATTTTTGCTCTTCCCTTCGTAGTTTTACATTAGGTTGCCTTCGCGGGTTTGTTAGGGACCATTGCGGGTCCCACTTCTTGACCTGGCAGGCCAGACCACACGTGGACAAGCACCCGTGGTACAATATATATATATATTTTACAGCAAGAACACGTACAATTGGACTCGAACTTCTTCTAATTAGGTGTGTCAGTGTTTCTTCTTAAAAAAAAATTACATTTGTGTGGGGCTAATTTCATTAAATGGTATAATTTAATTTGGTATGCATAGCAATAACTTGTCAGTAGGGAGGAGTGGATATAATCTTTGATGTAGACCAATAAAAATTGGTATATCTTCCGATCATTCCTAACCCATGTGTATTGTACATATATTACTCCAAAATTTCATATTAACCGTAATTACTATCTCTCATTTAATAATTTTGTAATTTTACATACATCCTTACTATGCTAATTCTCAACGTAAATGTAAATATATATAATGGAGGAATGCTTTTCTTGGTATTTGTCCCCGTCTAATGCATTGTGTCATGGACCTAAAACTACATGACCATCTAGAGTATTGCGTAAATACTAATAAAATGGAGTCGCCCAGAAGCCCATTAGATTTTGGATATGATACCCACCAAGTTTGAGTCCAAAATTTTAGCAAGAATTTGATGGGCCCTCTTGATCCAGTTATGAATTGGGTTTGGGCTTGATTAAAGTTCTATCTTGTCATCAAGGCCCAAAATATGAGGAGGGTCAGGGCAGTGCACCTTCCCAACTAATGAGACTGGGTTGGGCCGGGAGGAGGAACTGGACTCCTCCTCATATGAACAAAAGCACGATTTTTTTTGCTTTGTGAAGAGCAAATGGAGATTGCCAGAAGTGATGAAATTGTGCTAGGTTTGATTGAACATGCCTTGCCCTACTTGGTGACCAAATCGAAAATGAACCGATCCCGGCTGCCATTGATGTCTGGATTTCCCGACCGAACGAGGTTTTCAGTGGATATGGTGTTCCACCCCATGGGCACATATTGAAGAAAAAGCAACAAGAACCATAAGAAACAACATTGTGACACTTTTATTACCAAGCACTTCCATCTCTCAAAAAAAAATAGAAACCTAAGGAGCTTGTGAACATTAATGAATGAAACTTGTGTTTATAAATAGCACAAACCTAATTTTACATCCTTACTATTTAATATGTTGTTTGCACATTGCATTATTGTAAATATATCTTTGTTGTGAATGTCATCGTAATTCAGTAGTTGGGTTGTTAGCTTGACTTCGAACCTTCGCATTCCCTAATTTATAATATAATATTATTGTCTTAAAAAAAAATTGTAAATATATTTGTTAATGCAGGAATGTTTTCCTCAACATTGATGGTTCAAATCAGAACACAATATAGCAGAGAATATGCTCTATACTAATTAGGTTAATGGTCAGACGATAGTGCACTATTGCTTTTGCTTGTAACATTAATAATTTTTTTTCAAAATAAATAAAATCAAGAAATTTAACTTAAAGTCAATGAATTAAAAGCCCATATTAGATCAAAATAAATGGTTCAACACGAGAACTAGGAGATAACCTATCTTATTACCACTCTCAATATAAAACATCACCCATACTAATAAAATAAATCACTTATTCAAACAAAAATAAAAAAATAAAAACAGTTCATAAAAAATAAAAATATAAATTAAAACTATAAATAAATTATAAAACATCACTAATTTCTAAATTTTCCTATATACTAATAAAATAAGGTGGGGGCAGATCAAATTTTGTATAGTGTCAAGGCCCAGAGTCACCCAGAAGCCCATTAGATTTTGGATCTGAAATGTTGCAACGTGGCCATCCTCTTGTATGTGTCAAACCCACCAAATTCGGAGTCCAAATTTTGATGGTCCCTCTAGATCCCGGTTATGAATTGGGTTTGGGCTTGATGAAAGTTATTCTGACATCCAAGGCCCAAATATTGAGGAGGGTCTCCCGGTTATGAATTGAGTTTGGGCTTGATGAAAGTTTTTCTTGACATCTAAGGCCCAAACGTTGAGGTGGATCAGGGCACTGCTATTTCCCAACTAATGAACCATTTCTATGTTTTTTATGAGACTGGGTTGGGCCTGAAGGAGGAACTTGACTCCTCCGGTGAAGAAAAGCATGAAAACATATGGAGATTGCCAGAAGTGATGAAATTATGCTAGGTTTGATTGAACATGCCTTGCCCTGCTTGGTGAGGACCTGAGAGATTTCGAGATCGAAAATGAGCCGATCCCGGCTGCCATTGACGTCTGGATTTCTTGACGGAACGAGGTTTTCCGTGTATATATGGTGCTCCACTCCATGGGCACATATTGAAGAAAAAGCAACAAGAACCATAAGAAACAACATTGCGACACTTTTATTCCTAACCACTTCCATCTCTCAAAAAAAAAAAAAAAAAAAAAAAAAAAAATTTAAAAATTAAATAAATAAAAACCTAAGGAGCTTGTTAACATTAATGAAAACTTTGAAGAATTGCAACATATATATACACAAACACACGTGTGTGTGTTTTATTTATTTCCTTAATTTAAAAAACCTAGTAATTCATTTATGCATTTAATTTGTTAAACTAACACTCAGGGCTCAGATTTTAGGCTTAAATAACTGTTTTATGGGAAAATAAAAAATGAAAAATTGAGGTACATCATGCTAGAATTGAGTTACCATCTCAACTTCTCTGTGCCTTGCATGAGTATAGAAATCAAAAATTAAGAGCTGCATAATGTCTGTCTATTGCAGTCTGCTTAAACTATAACATCAACAGACACAGAATTCCCAATTCATTCATAAAACTCTAGAAGGTTTTCAACTCATATCCGTACCATTATAGCTGCAACAACTCCGCGGGTGAAAAATTCCCACAAATAACTCTGACAAGTTGCATCTTTAAATCTTGGTAAATGAAGCTGAGAAAAAGGTTTCTATGGGAGCTCAATAATCTTTGGTCGCTTTTTTGACTGACGATTTCTCGATGATTCACTGGGTAGATTATCTTCATCAGGCTTAGATCTTTTCCCTTTCGTAGGAGAGCATGTGTCATTGTCGTCATCATCATCATCGTCACTTTCATCATTATCATCGTCACTGTCATCGCTGCTATCTTCAGATTCCGTCCCACTACTGCTACCAGCCAAAGGAATCATGGGTTGATAACTGGCTATTGCAGACTCAGCAGCAGCAATGGCCTCAGGGGTATGAAGATCAGCAACACCCAGCATCAAATCCTGTGATTGCAACCAATCATCAACTTAGAAACATGACGGCTGCCACTTTGTTCAAAGCAAAGAAAATGAAAAGAAAGCACTCATTTACCATTTCAATGTATTCAGACTCGTTTCCAGTGAGCACTTCAATGTCGTAGTCCTTAGAACTATCCTGAATTTTATCATGGCACACTAATGTCAGAAATGAAGAGAACAAATGGAATTAGGATCGACAACTTGGTCGCTTTACAAGACGAGCATATTATGTATACCTTTGCATCTACCTGCAACCTCTCATTTGCTTCTGATATGACTCCCAAAAAATCCTTCACCTTTCCCAGAACTGAAGTAATGACAAAATAAGCATCAACTATAACAGGAATATTGCTTCTAATTTTACCTATTTACTTGGTAAAAGCATCAGATTTATTCAGGATACTAGAATTTTATGAAGCAGGGACACTTAGGATTAACTGTTTCCAACACAGTGCGGGACACGACCTCATCTGACACACTAGAAAAGAATCAGATGCAGGCAATATATATAAATTCTTTCTTCTGTTTATTATTATTTTTTTTTTATCAAAAGAAATTGAAAATAATACAAATTGTCAAAATAGGTTAAGCATGTAATGCACACTTCAAGTATTTAGCATTGAGAAAGGGATGTAATGAGTAATTAATGGTTGTACACATGATATTTGTAGAGCTTAGCTCCCAAGTTATGCAACTTTGAGTTAACCAAATTATATGTTTTCCCCCATATTAAATATTTACACATATTATTGAATCTTGTCCAGTCCTATTATTTAAAATTTACCATTTTGGCACGTCTTGCCATGATGCGTGTCCAAATCTATGCTACATAATTACCTGTAACATATGTAACTAAGCTGTGAGTCTGTTTTATCCATATGAATACTTATGTTTATAATAATGCCCTCAATTTATTTTATTTATCCCACTAAATGAGTAGTTGCTATCAATACTATATTCAAAACAAACTGAAGGACGAACAGAGAAAGGGACTGGTTCTTGGCTCATCAGTTTTCTTATCAGATTCATGATAAATTCAAGAGGAAGTGGTATCTCCTTAGGATCTACGCCAGTGTGCCTAGCACTAGCTTGATTTCAGCTGCATTCAATATGCGGAGTTTCTGTTGGATCAAATCTTTTGCTTTGACAAAAGCTATTGGACCTGGCTGAAAGGATTAATTGCATAGAGATGATCAAGTAATGATAGAATACAACTACGAAAGGGTGGTTTTTAGATCTCGCATCTACTTAAATCATGGGAATATAATGATCTACTCCATAAAGTATGAGAGACCAACTTGTCAAATTCAAATTTCTCCCCGTTTTTCATTTTCCAAACTGAAACTAATAATGGACAGAAATAAACTAATAATTTTCTATTGATTCCTTGTTCAAATCTAGGATGGCCCAGCTGCGCAGCTGCACCAGAAAAATAATAGAAGCAGCATATGACTCCATGCATGCACTTGGTTTGGGGAAAAACAGCTCATTTGATAGAGTTTCACTCTTGCAGTTGGGACGCTGTAATTACAAGTCTAAGTATTTAATTGTCCAGGTGGTAATGATAGTGTCTTGTGTTCAAGGTCAATAAATAAGAAAACATCCTCTTTTTGAAGCTCATAGTGTATTTCCAATTCCCCTGCTAAAGAGAGAGAGAGAGAGAGAGAGAGAGGCAGAGAGAGAGCTCTCCTTGTATGAGTTATTTACTGATTCTTCCCGAAGGCTCGCCCTGGGCTTGGAAGTCAATCTAAAGGCACCTCTAATAAGGTCATTTTTAGCTTAAAAGTCTCATTTTCACTCAAAGTTCGTATCTTTTTACATTGAAACACTCTCATTCCTTCAAATGTACTCGAATAAGGTCAGTTTTTACTTAAAACTCCCATTTTAACTCAAAGTTCCCATCTTTTAACATTGAAACACTCTCATTCCTTCAAAGGTACCTTGAATAAGGTCATTTTTAGCTTAAAAAGTCTCATTTTCACTCAAAGTTTGTATCTTTTTACATTAAAACACTCTCATTCCTTCAAAGGTACCTTGAATTTTTTTTTTTTTTTGATAAGTAAAGGTACCTTGAATAAGTTAATTTTTAACTCAAAACCCTCATGTTAACTCAAAGTTCCCATCTTTTTACATTGAAACTACAAAAATGCATCAAATAACAAAATTATTTAATTATGGAGTTTTGATCAACACTACTTGGACAATTTTGGATACATGTTCAACACAACTCATGCTAGGGTACAAGTTTTTTCACATTCTTGGAAGACAAAAGTCATAACCCTAAAAATAACAGAGTTACCATTTATTGGGTTCTAAGTAACTTTAACCTTTTCCAGAAATAAAGAAGCGAGATGTAGTGAAGATTTCTTCCAAAGGAGGAGAGTTTTTTCTCAAAGTACCCATACAGTTGCATTTATTGTGTTGTAAATTACTTTAACCTTCTCTAGAAATAAAAAGTGAGATGTAATGAAGATTTCCTTCAAAGGGGGATGGTTTCTTCTCCAAGTACCCGTTGATGTTGTTATTATTATTATTTACTACTACTACCATCATTGTTAATTTTAAAACAAAGGCAGACCAATAATTTGAAACATCAATTTTTATGAAATACATTCTCCCCTTTTCAGTTTCTCATAAAGAGGAAATGACAGATTATAATTGAAGAAAAATAGGGAGGAATAATGTGATGTAAGGAGCACACAAATATTGCATCCCACCTCTCTTGTATATGAACATACACACTAACCCAGTTAAATCTAGCAGGCTCACTTTGGAGTCCAGTATATTATGACAAAAATGACTTATCAAAAAAAATATATACATATTATGACAAAAAGGAAACAAATCTACTCATATTGTGACAAAAGTAGGACCATCAAAGGTTTAATTTTTCATCTTTTGACAGAATATTTTGCATTCTGATCTCTCTCCTGCTTCCAACCAATTATATACCATAGTCCATCAATTAATTAAAGTGTGGCTTCATGCATCCATGATGTGCCTTGCAATTATTTCAACTGAAATAAATGCATTCTTTATAGTTCTGAATTCTGATATAGCTGCAGATTGTTCACTTACCTAACCTTTTGTAGCAATAAAGAATTATTTAAGCTCACAAGCCTCCATTTCATTTAGATGCAAAACAGCATACCGAGGAGGACGGTAAAACTCCTTTGGGCTAAATTTTGGGTCATTTTAAATAAGTATACAATAGAACATTTTTTAGACAAACCTTCTACAATTAACACTCTTGACAGAAGGTAAGTTCCTTCTGCAGCATTATAATATAATGATCCTTAAACATGAATTCACGTTTTCTAGTTTCTTTTTTCCTGAGGAGGTGTGTTTTCCATCTACAATTTTTCCACTTTAAAATTCATTTTTTTGCTTACAAAATGAAATTCTGTTCTCATATGTATAAATGGTAACAATACTATAGAAATTGAAATCCTACTTTTAACTTAGAAACTATTTTCTGTTTGTATAGATAGAAAATAACTTTTTAACAGTATCCAATCACAACCTTACCATTAGAAAAAGGCCCTAATTAAATGGCGCTTATCAATGTAATTGGTGTCCAGCAGAATCTAAAAAAAAACAAAAAATAAAAAATAAAAAAAATAAAAAATAGACAAATGCAGTCAAGTGTGAAAAATGGAAAACCTGTTTGACATCAGGAGATAAAATATTATGCAAAATTAGGGATGCAAATAGACTCCAAACCTCAACTACGCAGGAACCGTGTGGCAGAAAATATGGAACACAGCAGTCCCAGCATGGATTTGGGTTGGCCATGGACTAACGTTCATTCACTCACCAACACCACACTATGCTGCAGTAATGAGTTTACTATTCTAATACGCCCCAAAATACTGCTTTGATGCCTTAATTTTCTAGGCCTGCCTAATTTCGGAATTCTTCCCACATCTGCTTAATTTTCTCCGTCTTTCTCGAAATTGTGACACTTCTCTCTAAAGCTTAAAAAAAAAAAAAAGTTACACAAATTATTATTACATATGATGTATGCAAAGATCTTCTATTTCTCTCCTCACTAAAAGTTCTAAAAAAAATTGTAACATCTACAAATATCAATAAAAACTCCCAAAAGATAGCAAGGTGCTCATTATTGGCGTCAATTTTACTATGGTAATTTTCTACGTATATGAAAAATCTCTTTTAATGCATTTGGGAGCACCGAATTTGCTCACTAGAATTGGAATTGGAATTGGAGATTCTCCCAACAATAGCTTTATATTCGTTTCAATTGTAATAAAAAAAAAAATTAAAAAAAAAAAAACAGTTCTCCATTTGAAAAATACAATATCAATCCATCTAGGCTGATATTTTCTAAATCAAACTCCAAGCAAAATTGTCTCCAATTTAAACCAATTAGTTCCACTAAACACTTGCCGCCCCTTTAAATTTGGTTAAAATTATATGGGGGTGTATGATAAGAGTTTAGGACTTCAATGCAAACTTCTTTTTTAAAATTTTCAGACCCATTTGTCTAGAGTTTCCAAAACCTGTGTATAATGTCTAATTGAGATACCGGTTCTCAACAATATATGGATACGCATATATTGATGTACATAAATTATACACATAGAAGTATGTAAATTACACACAGAATAAGATTGACAGTGAAGCACCTTGGCTTTTGGGAACAGAAGAAGGCATGGACTCTCCATTAGGAGGTTGGGACTTGGTGGTCTGAGACTGCAATAATTCATTGTTTTTGCAAACAAGAAGCTTGGATTCTGCAGCAATAATACAAAGGATTTAGTAAAGATTAGCACACAAAATATAATATTAAATATATATATATACACACACACACACATATAACAAACATAGAGCTAAAGAAAACAAAATATAAAGAGATTAGAGAGAGTGACCTAGTGCTGAGGGAGAGTTATTGGCCTCCAACTGTAGAAGAACTTTGCTGTTACCTTTGCCTTCCATCTCTCTCCTCTCTCTCTCTCTATGATGGTGGTAATGATGGAGATAGGGATGTTACCGCAATGGTAGAAGGAGTCTGAGTCGAATCGACTCGGTGAATGCGTCTATCACATGTTGCCTCAACTGAGTCAGTTGGGTAGCTAGCGATCTAGGGTTTAAGTTTGTTGGGTTCTTGCGGTTCGGTTCGGGTCAGATCGGATAGAACCAGATTTCGGGGGCTTGATGTTAAAGTTTGAAGATCGACAATCTTTCCTTTTTCCTTCATGTTAAAGGGCTACTAAATAGAGGGAAAGAGTTAGAATTCATTATTCTTTTATTTCTTTTTTCTCAAAAAGTTCTTTGATTTTTTTCTTTTCATTTTCTTTTTAAGATTCCAGCAAAGAAACAAAATGTTGGAGTTGTTCAATAAAACTTAAAATTAAGAAATGAAAATTCAAAAAATTGAACTGCAACTCTTGAAGTTTTTGAACGTTACCTATAAATTGAAATTTCTTTTTATATTTATTTGAATTAACAATAAGTGAATTTCTTATTCAAATTTTTACTCTATTTTCAATGATATAAAATCACACTAATTAGATTATTGTTTTTTCACCGGTGATCTTTTACGAGCTCATGAGGTGACACTTCAATTCGTGCACCACGTCATTCTTAATTTTTTCACTTCATGTATAATTTAGTGGTTTTTTTTTTTTTTTTTTTTTTTTTAAATGTTAAATTGGTTTTACTATGTAGCCTTTGTTCTTTATGATATTTCCCATTATCAATTCGAGCTTGGGTGTGGGCAAGGTGTGTGCAAGTATGTGTGTTTCTTGTCATGAAAATAAAATAAAATAATAACTACTATGCTAGATAGGAGAATTACGTCATTCACTATTCATATTTTAGACTAGTTGTAGTGTGGAGTTATGAATATTCCTTTAATATGAAAGAAGGAAAATTGAAAAAAATGAAAGATAAAAGGGGTATAAATTAATGATATTACTAGGAAATGAATGAACCGATTTCTTGCATTATTTAGTAAATATAAAAGATGCGAGTATAACATGATTTGATCACCATATCTTTTGCAAGTAAAATGAGACTTTTTGAAAGGTAAATCGAAAAGTTAAAAGGGAGGAGTGCGGATGCATACTAACTAGTAATCTTAACATTTTTTTGAACAGAGAGATGAAATGAGAAAATAGAATAAATTTTTAATAAACTCACCAATGCTATATTTGGGAGTATTGAATCGGCTATTTAAATTTGGATGGAATGAAATTTTGTCAAAATTCAAACGTGAGATTCGGTTATAATTGTTATAAGTTTAGCATATTTGTGCATCAATAACAATGCTTGGAATAAGCTATAACGTATATTACATTCAATTGTGGAATTGAGAAGGTTGGTGTAGTTTTTGTGTCAGTTGCATTCATTTCCGATCTTTAAGCTGGAGCTTTGGCATCTCTAGCATCAAAGTGAATACAAATAATAGCACCAATTTGATTCTCATGCTACCTTTAGTTGATATAGAAAGGGACGGAGCCAGAATTCGTTTAAGGGGCAATGTATTAAAAAATAATAATAATAATAATAAATCATTTAATAGTGCAGTAAGATAATAAGTCCAACAATAGAAATGCAGTGTATAGTGCATTGAGTAACATTCATATAGTATTTAATAACTCAAAAAATAATTATTATAAGAAATAATTAAAAAACATAAAATACGGATATTAAGGATTTTTTTGGCAACAAGTTCTATTTTTCATTTCTAGAAACGTAACTTTGTGTGTGTGTGTGATTTACTCTGAAACAAAAATATGATTGGTAACTAATTTATTACACAATGATTCATAATTTTTTTAAAAAATTGGTATTTAAATTATATTGGTTTTTTTAAAAAAAAAACAAGTGAAGAAAAAAAAATAGAGGACTTTGAAGGGAAAAAAAAAAGAGTCTGATTGAAAAAGGGAATGCATTTTTTTTATTTTTTTTGTAGATGATAAAAATATCTATAGATTGAAAAAGAGGGGTAAGAATGAAAGAAAAGAAAAAAATAGATAAAATTTTAAAATAAGATAATTTCGGGGTTATAAGTTTATATAAGAAGATTAGTGGGGCCATAAATGAATTGGACTGTGGGGGCGGCATGCGTTAGTTATATATAGGCACGTGGAATATGAGATGGTGTTTCATATTAGTCTTTGCAATTCCCGCTACTGGCATCGAAAGTATTTTTTTATCGTTTTATTTATTTATTTTTTTTAGAAAAATATTTTTAAATTTTTTTTGGGTGTTGTGGTGTTATTTATGTAAAAAATGGAAACAATGATTTTGCTGTGCAACTCGTGAAAAACGCAGCTGCTATAGTACAACTTAAAACGAAAATAGATTCGGTTCTTTTAAAAATATAAAGAAATTGACAACTTATTATTACGGAGTATAATTTTTTTTTTTTTTTTTTTTTTTTTTTTTTGAGACAATTCAATAATAAAAAACGTGATTACCAAATTTGATTTTTACCTCTCATTGTTTTTAAGAAAATGGTAGCAAAAGATTGAAAATGGCAACGTTATCAAATACAGCCTAATATCATGAATTATTGTATCATGGATCCGGATGGGCAGCATTTGGGCACATGAGATTAAGTTTTAACACCACCTACTAACTCAACCTATTAAGTGAGCTAAAGTACCAAGTATAATTGTGACAAATGGTATACGAGCAAGTTCAATCATTGATTTAGTAACATGCCAAACACCCAGACAGAGGTGTGCGGGTCGGATAACAGATATTTTATTGTTTGAATAGACACATAGGCAGAGTGGACTAACCGCAACGAGAGCAATGTAAATTTGAATCGGAAGAATATTATGGATTATTATCCCACACAAAATTTAAATGGGAAGAATTTTGAACATATAGAATTGAATGTTATGACTACTTAATAGTTTAAACTTTTAGGAAGAAAACACAGCTAAAGTACTTTTAATGAAAATTAGTTGAGAACTGATAATTGAACTATTTATCAATAAAATTCTAATATAGATGATATAATCTTAATATTGTGGGTGGTGTGGACAAGTTTTTGCCCCGTTGAACCGTTTGTCCTCGACCCGCTCATTTCCCGGTACGACACTATCTCTCTACACTCTCTAGGGGCGGCCATGGACGATGTATGCGAAGGCAAGGACTTCTCGTTCCCGAAGCAAGAAGAGGGAATCCTCCAATGGTGGACCGAAAGGCGAAAACAATGCCATTGAGACCCAGCTCGAAGGACCTCACAGAGTATATTTTCTACGACGGCCCACGATTCGCCACCGGTCTACCTCACTACGGCCACATTCTCGCCGGCACGATCAAGGACATAGTGACCCGGTACCAGACCATGACGGGCCACCACGTGACCCGGCGATTCGGGTGGGACTGCCATGCCTTGCCCGTCGAGTTCGAGACCGATACCAAGTCGGGAATTAAGAGCAGAGAGGATGTGCTGAAGATGGGGATTGATAAATACAATGAGGAGTGTCGGAGTATTGTGACGCGGTACGTGGAGGAGTGGGAGAAGATTGTATTTAGGACCGGTCGGTGGATCCATTTCAAGAATGATTACAAGACTATGGACTTGAAGTTTATGGAGAGTGTTTGGTGGGTCTTTTCTCAGCTATTTGAAAAGGGTCTCGTCTATAGAGGTTTCAAGGTTTGTTTTTCACGTTGAACTTACATAAATATATGTATGTGTATATTCCTCTTTCCCTTTTTCATTCTCTGGTTTTAGGATAGAAGAAAAGATAATGATGCAGGCAATTTAGAATGGTGTTTCCAATTTGTTAATTGTGGTTCATTCTGAACTGGGTACTGGATATTCTGAGAAACTAGATGATAATTTAAACTTGAACTGTATGTTTTATTTATTTATTGATTAAATAGTGGGATGAATTGGAGTTAAATGTTCGTGTGCTGTTGTTGCTTTTTGCAGGTTATGCCATACAGCACCGGTTGCAAGACTCCATTGTCTAATTTTGAAGCCAATTCGAACTATAAGGTTTAAACTGGATCTTTCCTTAATGGGTTATGCAACTAGTAATTTTACTCCTACTAATAGTAATTATAATGGTAGTAAATAATCTTCATTTATTGCCACTGATTGTCATTGTTTTTGATAGCAGAGCAGGCCATTGCTCCGTGTAGTTACCACCGGCCTTGTTACTGAACTAGATTACTTGCAAAGTTCTCGAAGGAATTTTTATGATTAGATCTTTCTGATCCCATGACTGTTTATAGCGCATTTTTTCAGTTTCAATGATAATTTCATGTTTTTCATGCTTATATTCTACATTCTGTAGCTAATAGATCTACATACAAACTTGAAAGTAGCCCCTCGCTCTCTGTGTCTTTCTCTTTTTTATATATATGTATTTTTATGGTTTTTTTTTGTAGAGCTGTTGCGATGATGATTATAGTACTTATTATAGCAACTTCTTCATCATCATTATTGTTATAATTTTTATTATTTGTCTAGTTTCAATTTTTTTGAAGCCTTATATTTCTAACACTCCTGGAGTACACAGGAAGTACCTGATCCTGAAATCATGGCGGCTTTCCCAATGGTTGATGACCCAGATAGTGCAGCTTTTGTAGCATGGACAACGACACCGTGGACACTCCCTAGTAATCTTGCCCTTGGCGTCAATGCAAATTTTGTCTATGTAAAGGTCAGTTTTTCTTGAAAAGTCTGAAATAATCACTTATTTGTGCTGTCAATGCAAATGTTGGTGTACATTGCTAGTTTGCACTTGGAATTGGTGTGGTCTAATATCATTATATTGGATTAGTTACGATACACATATTGGAGAACTCTGTAGTAATTCTTCTCTAGTTATTAGATGACAATCATCTTATTAATCGCCAAAAAGGGAAAAAAAATTAAAGATGGCCATTTTGTTTAGTTGTATGAAATAGATGTTTTGAAGGCATCCAAAGGTTCCATCTTACATCTTGGCTTAAGGTGTGCTTTTAAGAATACCATATTGAGTACTGCAGTTGTGTCTTCAGAGGCTCATATCTTAAGCTTCGTGGTATCTGTTAGGTCAATGTTCTTTCAATTTTCTATTATCTTTGATGAGTTAGAAAATTTGGTTCTTATCATGTAAGAAGGGTTGGTAACCACAAATTTGTGAGTTTCACTTATTCATTAAATAAAATGTTAAGTAAAATATTATTCATTATACCTAGTTTCATTTAACATATTTGAATTTACAAAATTAGTCTAAACAGTTGCAATGATTTGGTCCTAAACATCCTGAGTGTCTAAATAATCGATATTTAGTCAATTTATTTCATGATTGTGATATTATTTTATATTTTGATTGAGTATTTTACGTTAAATTAAAAT